ATTACATTTTTATTAATATAATATAATATAATAATATAATATAATATAATGTATGTACAAGCCCCGATGTGCGGGGCTTGATGAATGCAAAGCTGGGGTAAAAATTGCCGGAAGAAACATTAACAACCTCAGATATGCAGATGACACCACTCTGATGGCCGAAAGCGAGGAGGAGCTGAGGAGCCTTCTAATCAAGGTGAAAGAAGAAAGCGCAAAAGCCGGGTTGCAGCTAAACATCAAAAAAACCAAGATTATGGCAACAAGAATGATTGACAACTGGGAAATAGAGGGAGAAACGTGGAGGCCGTGACAGACTTTGTATTTCTAGGCGCAAAGATTACTGCAGATGCAGACTGTGGCCAGGAAATCAGAAGACGCTTCCTTCTTGGGAGGAGAGCAATGTCCAGTCTCGATAAAATAGTAAAGAGTAGAGACATCAGACTGGCAACAAAGATCCGCCTAGTCAAAGCCATGGTATTCCCTGTAGTCACCTACGGATGTGAGAGCTGGACCTTAGGGAAGGCTGAGCGAAGGAAGATGCTTTTGAGCTGTGGTGTTGGAGGAAAGTGCTGAGAGTGCCTTGGACTGCGAGAAGATCCAACCAGTCCATCCTCCAGGAAATAAAGCCCGACTGCTCATTGGAGGGAAGGATACTAGAGACAAAGTTGAAGTACTTTGGTCACATCATGAGGAGACAGCAAAGCCTAGAGAAGGGAATGATGCTGGGGAAAGTGGAAGGCAAAAGGAAGAGGGGCCGACCAAGGGCAAGATGGATGGATGGCATCCTTGAAGTGACTGGACTGACCGTGAGGGAGCTGGGGGTGGTAACGGCCGACAGGGAGCTCTGGCGTAGGCTGGTCCATGAGGTCACGAAGAGTCGGAGACGACTGAACGAATGAACAACAACATATAATATTTATAATATTATAATGTAATACAATATAATACTAATAATATGAAATTATAATTATATATTTAATATTACATGTAATATTACTACTAATATTACAATGTAATGGTATAGTACAATATTGTAATGTATAATACTGATATCGTGCTATGCTAATAGTATAATATATAATATGTATAAATATATCTTGCAAGCCAGTCTGAGCCCCCTTTTGGGGTGAGAAGGGCAGCATATAAATGTTATTAATTAATTAATTAATTAATCGCCTTGCTTCTAGTCTTTGATTGGGAAATAAAAGAGACTAGAGATATTGGGGTCCAGTGCATCAACAAAGGGATGCTGGAACAGGATGGGGGGGGGGGGGGGGGCAGATCTTTGGCCAGAGAGGAAGATCTGTTCTCTCTTGGGCCAGAGAGGAATGGTGGAAAGTCAAACACCCCCAACCCTGCATGTCTTCCTTTTCAGTCGCAGGCGAACTCCTGCAGACCTTGAGCGGTTGTCCCTTGGAATGCAGGAGGCTGCCCTTTCTCTGGGTTCGGTTCCTGGAGGCGGTCTTGTCCAGGACTCTAATTATTTATTTATTTATTTACTACGCTTATATACCGCAATTCTCAGCCTACTGGCGACTCATTGCGGTGTAAAACATAGAAAAACGGGTGCAAGATACAACAACAATTAAAATAATCCACAATACATAATTATCAAAACATCTCATCAAAACACCAACCTTACTACAATGCCATTCCGAGTCGTCTCATCATCAAATTCACAATCCGATACCATTTCCGTTATTCCATTCCTATGGTCAGGTTACCAGTCATTGCACTTCTATTCAAAAGCCTTCTTAAACAACCAGGTCTTCAGCTTCCTGCGGAAAATCAACAGGGAGGGGGCTAGCCTGATGTCTACGGGAAGGGTGTTCCACAGCCGAGGAGCCACCACCAAGAAGGCCCTATCTCTCGTCCCCGCCAGCCATGCTTGTGACGCAGGCGGGATCGAGAGCAGGGCCTCCCCGGAAGATCTCAAAGTCCTCGTGGGCTCATAGGCCGAGAGGCGGTTAGTTAGGTATCTTGGGCCGGAACCGTTTAATTAGCAGGGCTCCCCACAAGCATTTCTGCCAAGGCCTTCTAGCCCTCCCTGGTATCATACAGTGGGTTTTCTCTTGGACAACTGACTGGGCTGGACTGTGTTTAGTTTCTAGAGAACTGGGCAGTGGCTGAGTTTGTGGTTCAGGGCGTCCATCCAACCCACCAAAGCCACCAAGGCCCTCTGTGTCCTCCTCCCCTGAAAAGTCCAGCTGAGTTTAGCCTTAGTTCCAGGCTGCCGGGGTGTTGGTCATAGTTTCATTGCAGGTTCTGGTTGAGGTGGGTGTATCTTGGTGGGGATGTTGTGTTTGGGGTGGTGATGCAGGTGCCTGGTATTGCCATCTTTGCCATGATTCCTGCAGTGCAAGTCCTGGCAGTCAGCAGCCCAGGATGTGACCACTTCTTGCCATTGTCATCTATTCTAAGGTATGGTGAGCTGCTTCACCCCAAAACCATTGCTGAGTCTCTTATCCCCTTTTTCCATCCTCTTCTCCCTCATCTGCCCCAGTTTCCACCAAGTGCCAAGAACTTCCAGGAGGCCCAGAGCCACTTGAACCAGGCCGCAGCCGGTCTCAACCAGTCCGCCAATGAGCTGGTGCAGGCCTCAAGAGGCACCGCCCAGGACCTGGGCAAAGCTTCCGGCAAGTTTGGCCAAGACTTCAATGAGTTCCTTCAGGCTGGCGTGGAGATGGCCGGCCAGTCCCCGGTGAGAACTTCTCCTCCTTGAGTAGTCCTCTTGGGTATGGTTAACCAGTGACCGTGAAGCTGCGGTCAGTGGGGGTGATGGGGATGTTTGGTTTAAGCATGTGGGGTGGGGGTACCAGTGGGCAAATGTCCCAACCAGCTCCAGTGCATGACCATTTGATCCACCCTCTTCTCCCCCGCCACAGTCCAAGGAGGCCCAGGCCCAGGTGGTCTCCAACCTGAAGAGCATCTCCATGTCATCCAGCAAGCTCCTGCTGGCCGCCAAGGCCCTCTCGGCTGACCCTGCTGCCCCCAACCTCAAAAACCAACTGGCGGCCGCTGCTCGGTAGAGTACTCTGCTGGAATGTGGGGTGGGCCAGAGTTGTGGGGTCTCTCCTAAGCCCTTTTTTGTGGAGGGAGGAGAATGGCTAAGCTTCACTGGCTTGAGAAACCTATCCAGCCATTCTGCCCAGAGGGGACTCACGCGGTGCCCACTACCATTGCAGCGCAGTGACGGACAGCATCAACCAGTTAATCACCATGTGCACTCAGCAAGCGCCAGGACAGAAGGAGTGTGACAACGCCCTGAGGGAGCTGGAGGTGATGTGGGTGGGATGGGCTACATTTGCCCAGGTTGGCTGGGGGGAGGTGAGACTAAGGGGACCTCAGCAGCAGGGTGTGGTTTTGGTCCGCTGACCCCTCTCTTTCCTTCCCTGCTGCCCTCCAGACTGTGCGGGAGCTTCTGGAGAACCCCACTCAGGCGGTCAATGACATGTCCTACTTCAACTGCCTGGACAGTGTCATGGAGAACTCCAAGGTGAGTGCGTGTTGGAGGGGCACCTCCTTGTCTCTTGGGTGGCCCTTAAGGCTGGGTTGTTTGTGTCTCTTGCTTTGCCTGGGGTCCTGCTGGATGGAGACCCCCCTCCTCAGGGCAGGGGCAAGGCGGGGGTCCAAAGGGAGCTCTCCCAAGTCACAAGAAGGTCCCAGATGTGGCGGAAGGTTGCCTTGGGGGAGAAATTGAAGTTGGGCTCTGGCTTGGCCAGGACAGGGTTATTTGTGTCTTTTGCTTTGCCTGGGGTCCTTCTGGATTGAGACCCCCCTCTTCAGGGCAGGGGCAGGGTGGGGATCCAGAGGGAGCTCTCCCAAGTCACAAGAGGGTCCCAGGTGTGTCGGAAGGTTGCCTTGGGGGAGAAATGGAAGTTGGGCTCTGTCTGGCCAAACGTCCTGGACTCTGGAACACTTTTTGTAGCACCAGGTGTTGTAAACTGAGAGGTTGGATACCTGAGTTAAACCAAAATCAGTATGAGACTGTAACCAGATAGTTAGACTTTCCCCTTGCTGAGACCAAACCATGAAAGAACTCCCTGTTGAGGGTGAGGGTCCCTTTGTGAAGGCAGACCGCCAGTTGCCAGGTTGTCACACACAAAGCAGCTGTGTTTGCTGCCATTGCGGTGATCCTTGCAGGGGATGTCCTGCCCTGGCTTTTGCATGGAATTCATCACCTTGGAATGCGTTTGCATAAGTGGCCTTTAACCATACCCCACGGCAGGCCAGCTGATGCCCTTTCTTCCTCCTGCAGGTCCTGGGGGAGGCCATGGCGGGCATTTCCCAGAATGCCAAGAACAGCAAGCTGCCCGAGTTTGGCGAGTCCATCAGCACTGCCTCCAAAGCCCTCTGCGGTTTCACCGAAGCCGCTGCCCAGGTAAGGAAGTGCGGGAAGGGCACGACTCCTTCCTGTCCCCCACGTGCTGTGCTGTGTTGTGTTTGGTGCCCCTTGCAGGAGGAATGTGACCAAGAGGCTGTTAGGAAAAACTACCCCAAAATATACAGCAGAGCATCCAAAAACAAACAGGATACAAAAGTTGAGCATTCAGTTCATTAGCGATCAGAGCGTGAAGTGCCGTGTGATGTGGCTGTAAAGAACCCAGAGCTTAGGAGGCAAAGGTGCAAAGTCCAATCTTTAAAAAATCACAAAGGATATATTTACAATAATAAGAACTGTTCCGTCTTCCAGGAGCTTGGTTTGCATTGCCCCTTAGTTGCATGAAATACCTTCCTTTTGCATTTCTCCCAGGGTTGCTACAGTCTCAGCAGCACCCTGAAAGTTAACTATTAACAGGGGCTTAAAGCCAGCCTGCAAAAGCCTTTTGCTGTTGTTGGTTTAAAAAAGTATCTCTTTGGTCCAGAGACCGCCCTTTTTCCTGGGGATGAGATCTCCATTTTGGAGAAGCTCTCCTGCTTTCTTCAGTTTAGAAAAAGCCTCAGATGTGCTGGTGGCCAAGCTAGACAGCTTGGACAGGCCATCGTGAGTACGGTTACCCTCTTGCCTTTGAAACCGGTGCTGAGCTCAGATAGGGGAAGACCTACTCTGTCTAAAGATAGCAGCTCAGCGCTGGGGCAGAGAATATCTCAGGATTTCTCTGCCATTGGGAGAGGGTCTATTACTTCATCCCCAAACTAACCTTGAGCTTGGATAGGGGAAGATCTGCTCTTTCTAAGAGATAGCAGCTCAGGGTTAGGGTAAAGAATCCCAGGATTTTTCTATCATTTGGGGGGAAGTTAACTCAGTAGCTGAAGGAAAAAGGAAGGAAAGAACATCTATATAATTTCACAAGTTGACTGTTTGTGTTTGTAACTTCATCAAGCTGTGCCAAGTCTGTCAAGGACTTTGTAAAATAAATGTTCTGTTTGATGTTCAAATCTGGAGTGGCCTCAGTTGCTGAGAATCCTAAGCTTCTAAGTAAGGCACTTGCAGTTCACCCGGATAAAGAAAAAAGCACATCTTTATTTTAACTTTTTATAGTGTCTGGGTGTGACGGCACAAAAACTAACTACAATTCTTCATAGTAAAGAACTGGGCCTGAGGCCTACTCTAACGCCCATCTCTTTTAAGGTTTCAAGAGAGGGAAAACTCAATCACTACATCTCTTCCGACACACGAGCAGAGAAAGATCTCAAAGCACACAGCACATACTCTCCTTTGTTCTCCACACTAAAGTGTAGGAAAGCAGAAGGCAGATTCAAAAGCTTGTAGTAGAAAAGGATCCATTCTAAACTACCAATCAGAATGAGAGCAGAAACAGAGAGAGGAGAATAATAAATAAATAAATAAACTTTATTTATACTCCTCCACCATCTCCCCAAAGGGGACTCGGGGCAGCCAACATAAGGCCAAGCCTGAAGATATAATACAGCAAAATACAGAAATCAGATACATTCCCAACTGTCATACAGGAGACATGAGGGAAGGGAAACCCTTAGTCTGTACTAAGCTAACTAAACTGTCCCTCATGGAGGACTTGAGACTTGGTCAGTGTGGGGTTGAATCCCAACAGGGGCAGTGTCACAGAATCCCTTTCCCGCTCAGTTCCCTTCCGTTCTCTGCTCTGACCTCTCCTCCTCCGGCCTAACTTTGCTCCTAGGCAGCCTACTTGGTCGGCGTCTCCGATCCCAACAGCCAGGAAGGGCAGCAAGGCTTGGTGGACCCCACCCAGTTTGCTCGTGCCAACCACGCCATCCAGATGGCCTGCCAGAACCTCATCGACCCGGCCTGCACTCAGTCCCAGGTAAGGGACCGTTAACGTGAGCCACTGAGCAGAAGGGCAGGTGGCCAGTTGGTGAGCAGGTGGGACTTGGGGGGGGGGGGGGGGCAGGCAAAGCAAAGCCTCTCCTGAAATTCCTGCAAGGGATCTTTTGGGAAGTGGGACACCCCAAGCCCCCACCCCAAAGCCCAAGAGAGAGGTGCCATAGGGTCTGGTGGCTCTGCCTTGGAAGCAGAAGCAGGGAAATGGCTCCTCGAAGGGAAGGTAGGAAGAAGGAAGGAAGGAAGGAAGGAAGGAAGGAAGGAAGGAAGGAAGAGTGCCCTTGCGTCCTTCTGCCTGGACGGGCCAAGGGTACAAAGGGCTGAGATGAGCGAGCCTTGGTTGTCCCCGCAGGTCCTGTCGGCAGCCACCATCGTGGCCAAGCACACGTCCGCCCTCTGCAACACCTGCCGCCTGGCCTCCTCCCGCACGGCCAACCCGGTGGCCAAGCGCCAGTTCGTCCAGTCGGCCAAGGAAGTGGCCAACAGCACCGCGAACCTCGTCAAGACCATCAAGGTACCGCTCTCCCTTCACTCGCGTTCAGTCTGGTGGTGGGTGGCCCTTATCAAGGGGGCTCGCCAGTCTGCAACGCTGAGGTTTGAACCTGTTGCCCAATAGCCCTTAGGCACTTGCAGATGGGATCGGGAAACCAGTTCCTTTTTGCTGGCAGGGATGGATGAGGAGGATTTCTCCTGTTCATGTCAATGGTGTACCCCCCCCCATTCCCCCAGTTACCCCCCCCCCCCCTCTGGCTGTGAGCAAGCGCAGCCTACAAAACAGGAGAACTAAAAAGGGGACTTTAGCAACGCAAAACCCGATGTTAGCCCAGTATATATGTCATTTGCCAGAAGCCACTGAAGCTCCATGTCTCCACCCCCTATCCCCCAATATGGCCATGTGACATCAGTGAAGGCTTCTCTGGCTCGTGGGGCCAGCTGTTGGCCATGGAAAGGGATCTAGCTGAAGACAGAGATAATTAAGGAAAATTGCTGGGTTGTTGTAGATTTTTTTGGGCTATATGGCCATTTTCTAGAAGCATTCTCTCCTGATGTTTCGCCTGCATCTATGGCAAACATCCTCAGAGGTTGTGAGGTCTTGTGAGGATGCTTGCCATAGATGCAGGCGAAACATCAGGAGAGAATGCTTCTAGAACATGGCCATATAGCCCGAAAAACCTACAACAGCCCAGTGATTCCAGCCATGTAAGCCTTCGACAATACATTAAATAATAATCATCATCATCATAATCATCATCATCATCTTTATTTATACCCCGCCACCATCTCCCCAATGGGGACTCGTGGCGGCTAATATGAGACCAAACTCAAAAAATACAGTACAACATAATAAAATACGGAATGCAAAAAAACAAAACTTAGATCAGAAAATAATTACAGTAGCAAAACAAAACAATAAAGCAAAATTAACACAATATGAAATCAGACAGGAAGGGCAGGCCAAATGGATGAGATAAAATGATAAAACCCTGGGTGAGGTAGGAATAGAAAATGTGTGAGTGAGAGGAGACCAAGAAGGGTAAACAGTGGGGTACGGCTTTCAGTTTAGGGCAGGGGAAAGGGCATCATAGGGGCAACACTATAGGTGGGGCAAACAGAAGTGGAATAAATGGCCACTCTCCAAAAGGAGAATCCATTGGTTGTAGGATGCAAAGAGCCAAACACAGCTCCTCCGGTCATCACTCCCAGATGATAGCCTCCAATGCCCTTTACCATTGTTATCTGGAACTGATGGGAATTGTAGTCCTGGAATATGTGGGAGGCTGTGGATGCCCAACCTGCCAGGGCTGGAGGGGATCAGGTGCTCAGTCAAAGGCAGGTGTCCCCCTGTGGTTCTCTGTCAGCTCCAGAGGTAAAGCCAGTGGTTGAGGCTGATGGGAACTGGAGTCCCACAACATCTAGCCAGCCAGAGGTTGGACACCTGCTTCCAGGACCTCTTTCCAGCCATAAAGTTGTGTATTTCTCCCCTTTGGAGGGGGTCTGCTCTGCCTCATGAAGCCAGATGAGGCAGGAGGGGGTCCCCTGCTTTTTCCCCTGGGGGTGGGCTTCTCTCCCCCAAGGAGGGGAGGCTGACCGTTGTGTTCCCCTCAGGCCCTGGACGGGGCGTTCACCCCAGAGAACCGGGAACGCTGCCGCGAAGCCACGGCTCCCCTCATCGAGGCCGTGGACAACCTGACCGCCTTTGCCGCCAACCCCGAGTTTGCCACCGTCCCGGCTCAGATCAGCCCAGAGGTATGTACATCCCTGGAATCGGACAGAGGGGGAAAGGAGCCGCTGCCACACGTCTCACCCAGCCCTTGGGGTGCCAAGAATGGCTTTCTTTAAGGGAGGGGGACCCTTGAGCAATGACCACCTCCCTCTCCCCTTTCCTGCCAGGGCCGCAGAGCCATGGAGCCCATCGTCGCCTCGGCCAAGACCATGCTGGAAAGCTCTGCCGGCCTCATCCAGACCGCGCGCTCACTGGCCGTCAACCCGAAGGACCCGCCCAAGTGGTCTGTCCTGGCTGGACACTCCCGGACTGTCTCCGACTCCATCAAGAAACTCATCACCAACATGAGGTGGGTTTGGCCCAGTCCGGAACAGTGGCAGGGGACCATCCGATGATGGCTCTGGGCAGTCCAGAGTGAGCCTTGGTCTGGCATGGTGGACAACGTAGCTGTGGGCCCCAGAAAGGGGGCTTGAGTGGTGCAGGGATGAGATGTGGGAGCCGGAGAAGAGGTTGCTTGACTAGCCATCTGTGTCCATTACCTCAGGGACAAGGCACCCGGGCAGCGCGAGTGCGACGAGGCCATTGAGCAGCTGACCAAGAGCATCCGGGATGTGGACCAGGCTTCCTTGGCCGCCATTAGCCAGCAGTTGGCCCCCCGTGAGGGCATCTCCCACGAGGTGAGCGATAGGCCTGGTGGGTGGGAGGGTGGGTGGAGAACAGCTCTCCTGTGCTGGTGCGTCACTGGGATGTAGAGGAGACCCCGACCATTGCTCACTCAATGGCAGACACACAGAAGGAGGAAACGGCCAGCATTTTGTGTCTGGAGGGCTCCTTGATCCCAAGGGTCTGCCCAGCACTTGGAGGACTCACCCTGTCACAGTGGCTGCTCATTATATTGTTCCATGTTGCTGTCAGAAAGGGGGAGGTTTCCCAAACTGAAGAAGCCCTTCCCATAGTCCAGTGGCTCTCAGCCTTCCTCATGCTTCGACCCCTTAATACAGTGTTTCTCAACCCGGGGGTCGGGATCCCTGGAAGGGGGGGGGGTCGCGAGGGGATGTCAGAGAGGTCGCCAAAGACCATCAGAAAACACAGTATTTTCTGTTGGTCATGGGGGTTCGGTGTGGGAAGTTTGGCCTAATTCTATCCTTGGTGGGGTTCAGAATACTCTTTGTAGGTGAACTATAAATCCCAGCAATCACAACTCCCAAATGTCAAGATCTATTTTCTGCAGACTCCACCAGTGTTCACATTTGGGCATTTTGAGTATTCGTACTAAGTTCAGTGCAGATACATCATTGCTTGAGTCCACAGTGCTCTCTGGATTTAAGTAAACAACAACTCCAAAACTCAAGGCCAATGCACACCAAACTCTTCCAGCATTTTCTGTTGCTCATGGGAGTTTGGTTCAGTTCCATCGTTGGTGGAGTTCAGAATGCTCTTTGATTGTAGATTAACTATAAATCCCAGCAACTACAACTCCCAAATGACAAAATCAACCTACCCCCCAACCCCACCAGTATTCAAATTTAGGTGTATCGGGTATTTATGCCAAATCTGGTCCAGTGAATGAAAATACAACTTGCATATCAAATATTTACATTACCATTCATAACCGTAGCAAAATTACAGTTATGAAGTAGCAACGAAAATAATGTTATGGTTGGGGGTCACCACAATGTGAGGTATTGTATTAAGGGGTCGCGGCAATATGAAGGTTGAGAACCACTGCCTTAATACAATTCCTCATGTTGTGGTGACCCCAACCCTAAAATTATTTTCCTTCCTACTTCATAACTGTCCTTTTGCTATCAATCGTAATGTAAATATCTGATACGCAGGATTTATTTTCATTCAGTAGACCAAATTTGGCACAAATACCCAATACGCCCAAATTTGAATACTGGTGGGGTTGTTGGGAAGAGGGGGGGTTGATTTTGTCATTTGGGAGTTGTGGTTGCTGGGATTTGTAGTTCATCTGCAATCAAAGAGCATTCTGAACTCTACCAGCAATGGAATTGAACCAAACTTGGCACACAGAACTCCCATGGCAAACAGAAAATATTGGAAGGGTTTGGTGGGCATTGACCTTGAGTTGGGGAGTTGTAGTTCACCTACGTCCAGAGAGCACTGTAAACTCAAACAATGATGGATCTGGACCAAACTTGGCACGACTACTCAACATGCCCAAATGTGAACACTGGTGGAGTTTGGGGAAAATAGTCCTTGACATTTTGGGAGTTGTAGTTGCTGGGATGTGTAGTTCACCTACAATCAAAGAGCATTCTGGACCCCACCAACGACAGAATTGGGGCAAACTTCCCACATAGAGACCCCATGACCGACAGAAAATACTGAGTTTTCTGGTGGTCATGAGTGACCCCTCTGACATTCCCTCGTGACCCTTCCAAGGGTCCCGACCCCCAGGTTGAGAACCACTGCCATAGTCCACCCCAAGTTGTAGCAGCGGGGAGTCTCCTTTGCACAGCAGGAGCCCCACCCATTTGGCAAAACTTGAGATGGACCATGTTTTGTCAGAACTGAAAGTGCATGTATGTTGCTACTGTGGTTAGTCAGCCGGAGGAGGCGGTTCTGACCCAGTGCTTCCTGGGGCAGCTTTTCTTGGAATTCACCCCCACTTGACCTCTTCCTCTCCGCACAGGCCTTGCACAACCAGATGATGACCGCCGTCCAGGAGATCAGCAACCTCATTGAGCCGGTGGCTGGAGCCGCCCGAGCCGAAGCCTCCCAGCTTGGGCACAAGGTATTGTGGGGAGCCTTTTGGGGCATGTCCTGCTCCATGTCTAGGGAGGAGACGCGAGGCATTGGACCGGACCCAGGAGGGAGAGCAGTGAAGTGGCATGGCCCAAGGGAAATAGGTGGCTGACCTTCTAGTGCAGGGGTCGGGAACCTTTGGCCCTCCAGCTGTGGTGGACTTCAACTCCCACAATTCCTTGAGGCTCGGCATTCGCCCCAAAGGCTTACCTTGGCCCAACGAGGTTTGTTTGGCTCTTTTTCATGGAGGACGGGCAGCAAAGGGGGAGAGACGAGCGTAACGTAGCTGTGCAGATGGCGAGGAAGGATGCGGAGCCCACAGACTGGCCTCGGAGGGAGAGAGCGGGCGGAAACCCCTGCGGGCAACGCGCCTCCTCGCCGCTTCGGCCCTTAGCACCCGCCCCGCATGGACCCCCTCCCTAGCAACGACGCCGGCTGAGTGACGTCGTGCAGAGCTTGTCGGGGAAAAGGGAAGGCGAAGGCTGGAGGGAAAGGGCTCTGCGCTGTTTAAGCGGCGAGGAGGCGCGTTGCCCGCAGGGGTTTCCGCCCGCTCTCTCCCTCCGAGGCCAGTCTGTAGGCTCCGCATCCTTCCTCGCCATCTGCACAGCTACGTTACGCTCGTCTCTCCCCCTTTGCTGCCCGTCCTCCATGAAAAAGAGCCAAACAAACCTCGTTGGGCCAAGGTAAGCCTTTGGGGCGAATGCCGAGCCTCAAGGAATTGTGGGAGTTGAAGTCCACCACAGCTGGAGGGCCAAAGGTTCCCGACCCCTGTTCTAGTGAGTCTGAAGATCCTCCCTCTGAAGGTCTTCTTGCCCAAGAGCCACCTATGGGTTGCACCCAATGCACTCAGCAAGTGCCCACCATCGGACACATGCCATCTGGATATCAATGTATGGGTTGACCTTGTAGGACTGTTTCAGAGGGGGGTCAATTGCTCTGGATTGCAGGGTGGGCTGCATATGGAACTCCAGTGGGGAGCCTCTGAGCCACACAAAGGGAAAGGTTATCCTTGCAGGCCGTCTTTCCCCGTAACAGTAGCCTCTTGCCCCGTAGCCAATGGGTGCCAAGGCAAGAGTGGGCCCATTCACTCACGTTCTTTCCTACTCAGTCCTAGGGAGGAGGGAGAGTTTGTGGTCTCCTCCGCCAGGCCCCCTCCCATGGTGTCCTCTTCGCCAGCTGATTGAACAGAATGGCCTGCCATATTCATCTGTAGCTTCTCATTCACTGCCTGGTTCCTTCCTATATGAAAAAAAGGAGAAACTGGTTGAATGTTGGAGCCTACTCTTGTGTAATAAAGAAAATAGGACAGTCCTTGTGCAAGGACTTCTCCTTTTTTAAATTTTAAAGGTCTTATCATTTTTGGGGGGGAGTTTTTTGAGTGAAGGACATAGATTGGTTTGGTTGGTGTCTTGTGGCCAAATTTGGTGGCAATTTGTCCAGTGGTTTTTAAGTTCTGTTAATCCCACAAACGAACATTATTTTTTTTATTTATATAGATTGAGGTTGTTTAGATACATTTGCATTGCTACTAGGGCTGGGTAACAACGGAAAAATTTGTTTCTAAACTCGTTTCGCTTTCAGGGGTTTTTTGCGTTTTGTTTTTTAAAAGAATTCAGAAATTTTTCTTTTAAAAAGTTCGAAATATACGAAATTTCGTAAAATTACGAATCGATTACGAAACAATTACGAATCGATTCGTTAATGGCGGACGCGATTACGCAATATGCTAAAAAACCCTCCAAATGGGACAGGGGGAACTTCTGAAGCTTCCCTCTCCCTCTGTTGTTGACTGTTGGTGTGATAATTTATTTTTTATCACTGATAAAACAAACAACAACCCTAAAATTTGCACCAGACATATGGAAATAATTACGAAACAATTACGAATCAATTACGAAACAATTACGAAATAAATTGGAAAAATTCGTTTCGATTTTTAATTACCCCTGCATGGCTCAATATCGGATCGTAAGCTAATTTAAATATGAATTAATAACGAATTACGAAATTAACGAACGAAACCGCCCAGCCCTAATTGCTACAGTTAGTGGCTATTGGTCTTTTCCGTCCCTGCTCTCCCTATATATAGCCCAGGCATGGACAAACTTAGGCCCTCTTCCAGATGTTTTGGACTAACTGACGTCCAAAACACTTAGAGGGAGGGCCAAACTTTGCCCCTGCCTGCTCTATCCCCTTGCAGGGTCTCCCAACAGCTTCTCCCTGCACAGTAGGGAGGTGAGGATTCTCGGCCTAACTTTGTGTCTTGAAACTCCCTGCAAAGAAGCCAGGCAGGAATGGATCATTGCGAGAAGCTAATGGCAGCGAGAGCTTGTTTTCACATCCTCCTCCACAGCTTTGATTCTGTGTCTTCCCCCTCGGCAGGTCTCTCAGCTGGCTCAGTACTTTGAGCCCCTGGTGCTGGCAGCCGTGGGTGCCGCCTCCAAGATGCTCAACCACCAGCAGCAGATGAACCTCCTGGACCAGACCAAGACGCTGGCTGAGTCGGCCCTCCAGATGCTCTACACGGCCAAGGAGGCCGGCGGAAACCCCAAGGTGGGGCAGGTGGAGCCTGGGGGAGGGGAGCCTGGGCGGTCAGCACAGATGTGCTCCCCCATGTGTGGAGTGATGGCCAGAATCACCTGCCATTCCCACCCATGGGTGAGCGAGCATCACCAAAGTGTGTCCTCTTGATGTCCCATTCCCTGACTCTGACCTGTGCTCTCCCCCCCCCCCCAGCAAGCGCCCCACACCCAGGAAGCCCTGGACGAGGCTGTGCAGATGATGAAGGAAGCCGTGGAGGACCTCACCGCCACCCTGAATGAGGCTGCCAGCGCAGCAGGGGTGGTGGGCGGCATGGTGGACTCCATCACCCAAGCCATCAACCAGGTGCGACAGGGAGCCAGTGGGGTGACTGGGCAGTGGGGTTGCGAGGCCGCAAGGGACAGGGCAAGAGGGCACCATCCTGGGCCCAGTCTGTGAGTCCCTTTCTCCTCTAACTGTGGGAGAAAGGAAAGTTTGCTGTGGAAGGGAAGATCTCCTGTGGACTTTGGGAGGACCTGTTGATGTGGTTGCAGGCGGCCATGGCACGTGTCCTCACTTGTGAAGGCCCACTGGCTAAGGCATGGCTACTCTGCTGGACTGCAGTGGCGCAGTGGCTATTTGTCTGCCTGTGGCCACTGGATGTGGCATGAAATTCCCCCTACAATCAGCAAAAGCCTCAATCGTTTTAGCCTCAATATCTTCTCTCTGTTGTTTTGGTCAGTCCCAAAATCTGATAGTTTTCTCCCGCTTCTTAAGATCTAAGAGAGCACATCCAAACCCTCCTCTTGATCACATGTTGATTGGTTTCATGAATTCTCTAATTTCTCAGTTTTGAATTCTCTGGTTCACTCAAGTAAGCTTTCTGGTTATGTTGTCAGACTGTAGGATCTATATAGCAATATTAAATAACCACTCACAAGCCGTTTTTGCTTTGAAATGGATATATTGCTTGTATCTCTGCAGCAAAGAAAGACACTGCTGACTTTTTCCCACCACCACTTCCTTTTATACACCTTTCCTACCCATCTGCTCCTCTTCTCAGTTTCCTTATTAGAACTTGTTGTTTCACAAGTTCCAATACAAGGTTTCCATCGCCCTTTGCTGGCTTCAAAATCTCACAGGGAGAGAATTGAGTCAGCCAGGATGATTCAGTCAAGATGTCTCGGAGGGAATTTGTGATGTCTTCGTGCTGTCAGAAATTGACTCCTGACACATGTCCAAAGAAATGTTTATTTCTTTCACGTCTGCAGAGAAGTTCCTTCTCGTTTACGTCACTTCTTCAAAATGTTGGGCACATTCAGAACTAGATCTGGGGTGAAATCCTAGGACTACGTAGTTGGAAGAGACCACAAGGGCCACCCAGTCCAAACTCCTTCGGCCAGGCAGGAAAACACAATCAAAGCACAGCACACACATGACTTCCAGAGGAGATTATCCTCCTTGGGATGAAAAAAAAAAACCCAGAAGAAAATATAAATAGCAAAATCCACAGTTCAAAACCATTCAAGCTTTTTCAATGCATATTCAAAATTAAAGTTGCACCTCGGGCCCTGTTGTTTTGTCCCAGAGAAACAGGGGAAGGGTGGGCTTGCTTCCCTGCAAGACCCCCCTCCCCGCTGTTTTTTTTTTTTTTTTTTTTGGTGCTTTCATTCCATATATCTCTGGAAGACCGAGCCACTCTGTTGAGGAATATCTTCCAGGAGACGGCTTGTTGGGCTACTACTTGCAGGGGTCACTCCAAGGCCCATGAGGGTTGGTATCACTGGGCCGGACAGGCTCTCCGCATGGACGGTCAGTGCAACAGGGTCCTCGCAGCATTCATAGTGGTTACCACCATTTATTTATTTATTCATTTACACTATTTCTCTTCCGCCCTTCTCACCTGACAGGGGACTCAGTTTGGATTACAGTGTACACATATATGGCAAACATTCAATGCTAAAGATACACAACAAATATAGACAGACAGTCAGAGGCTATTTAACTTTTCTGGCCGCCAGAGGAGCTGTCGCTTTCATTGTCCATCTGCGACACTGAGGAAGTACTTCCGCATTCCCCGCATGCTTGCTGGAAATTTTTATGGCCTCATAAATTAGTTAAATTAGCCTCTCCATGCATGGGTGGTACCTAATTTTCCTATTTGACAGATGCAACTGTCTTTCGGGTTGCAAAGGTCGACAACAAGCTGCACAATTGGTCAGAAGCTCACTCCGACCCGGGCTGACTTTGAACTCATGACCTTTTGGTCAGTAGTGATCTTAATGCAACTGACTCCCAGCCAGCTCTGCAACAGTCCTGGTGCATTTATCTAGCAAAAGTGAACATATGTATGTATGTATGTAGGTGAGTATATTTGTGAACGCTTTCCACAAATATACTCACAATTGGTCAGAAGCTCACAATTGGTCAGAAGCTCACTCTGACCGGGGCTGGCTTTGAACTCATGACCTTCTGGTCAGAAGTGATCTAATGCAGCTGACACTCAGCCACCTGCGCCACAATCCCGGTGCTATTAAGTGCCAACTGGTGAGCCCTCTGGCCGTCCAACCGCCTGGCCCAGTGCCAAATTGTCACTAGGAACTGACCATGGGCCCCTGACCAGGAGACTGAGGCCACTGTGACCCCAAGGAGTAGCCCGTGTTCCATCACAGCATCCCATGGAAGGAGTGTGTCTTGTCCTTCTTCTTCTCTGCAGCTGGATGAAGGACCGGTAGGGGAACCGGATGGGGCCTTTGTGGACTACCAGACGACCATGGTGAAGACCGCCAAGGCCATCGCTGTGACTGTCCAAGAGATGGTGAGGAGGGGGCTGTCGGAGGGTGGCGAGGGGCAAGTGGCTGTGTCCAGAGGTGGGGAGGAAGGGCCTCCTGAAGGGTGCTCCTCCTCACCATGGCGCACTTCCATGTCCGCAGGTCACCAAATCGACCACCAACCCAGATGAATTGGGCACGTTGGCCAACCAGCTTACCAGCGACTATGGACAGCTAGCCCACCAGGCCAAGCCAGCAGCCATTACAGCCGAGAACGAGGAGGTGAGGGCTGCCTTTTGAGCGGGAGGAGGAAATAAGCATGGCTGGTTCTGGGTAGGGGGTCTCCTGTTCAGAGGGGCAGCTCTAGAGTCCAGCAGAAGCTGGAAGGCATCCTTCTGGAGATGCCTTCAAGATAGACACTTGGGGAGGGTCTTTTCCTACTCATTGAGGCAAATGACCCCCACCCTCCATAGTGTTCCCAATTCTTATATATATATTGTGTTGTCGAACGCTTTCATGGCTGGAATCACTGGGTTGCTTTGAAATTTCCAGGCTGCATGGCCATATTCCAGAAGCATTCTCTCCTGGCGTTTCACCCACATCAAAGGAGAGGTTGTGTGGCATTTTGGAAACTAAGCAAGGGAGGTTTATATATCTGTAGAAGGTCTAGAAAGAAAGAAACTCTTCTCTGTTGGAGGCAAGTGTGAATGTTGCACTGCATCACTTTGATTAGCATTGCAAAGCCTTGCAGCTTCACGGCCTAGCTGCTTCCTGTCTGGGGGAATCCTTTGTTGGGAGGTGTTAGCTGGCCCTGATTGTTTCCTGTCTGGAATTTCCATTTTCAGTGTGTTGTTCTTTATTTACTGTCCCAATTTTAGAGTTTCTTAAATACTGGTACCCAGATTTTGGTTTCCTCCTTTCTGTTGACATTGTCCACCTGCTTCTTGTGGATTTCAATGGCTTTTCATGTAGCTTGACCTGATGGTTGTCAGAGTGGTCCAGCATCTCTGTGTTCTCAAATTCTTTGATTCATTTGTGGGCAATGCTGCTGCTTTTGGTGGCCCTATATAGCTGCACGTTATACAATAGACTCCTGCAGAGGGGAGAGGATCCCCCTTGTCCTTTGCTGAACGGAGCATGTGTTGGATTTTCTTGGTAGGTCTGTAGATAGTATTCAGGATTCCTCATCTTCAGAAGAGGAAGGGGAGCAAGAAGGTGTTCAGGAATTAGAGGGGAATTAGAATCAGTGCCCACATTTCTGGAAACAGAGCAAAGACGCCGTTCAGCTAGAATAGCTGCTAGAAACGCCGAGCTAATTTGGAGCAGCCCTAGCACCTCCTGCGTGGGGAATTTAGGACTATAAATCAGAAGCAGGAGCAGTCAGCTTTCGTGATAATAAACGACTGATGCTTATGCCTTCGCTCCCAGTCTGCATTTGAGAAACTGCTTCTAAGCATTTATTGGTCACTTGCTGTCCCCTGCCACGCGTTGCTGTGGCCCAGTCTGTGTATATGTGCTTTGTGTGTGTATATATGTGTATATATGTGTGTTTATATATATATGTGTGTGTGTGGTTTTGTGCATGCGTTGTAATGTATTGTTTTTTGGTTTTTAAGTCTCTTCTGCTGGGTTTTTCAGTGTTTTTCTGAGTGATGGTCACTCATTGGCCTGAAAGGTGTATTGTCAGTTCGTCCAGTGGTTTTTGAGTTATGTTAATCCCATAAACGAACATTACATTTTTATGTATATAGACTAGCTGTTCCCTGCCACGTGTTGCTGTGGCCCAGTCTGTGTATATGTGCTTTGTGTGTGTATATATTTTTGTTTGCGTGTGTGTGTGTGTGTGTGTATATATATATATATAGGTTTATATATGTGTGTGTATATATTTATGTATTTGTGTGTATATGTGTACATGCATATTGTGTACATGTGTGTGTATGTCTATATGCATATTTGTGTGTATATATGTATGTGGATATGTATATGTGTGTGCATGTGTATATGTATATATGTATGTGTGCATGTATATGTGCATGCGTATATTTATATATGTGTGTATGTATATGTATGTGTGTATATGTGTATATTTGTGTGTGTTTGTGCATATATATATATATATATATATATACGTGTATGAATGTGTGCATGTGTATGAGTGTATGTGTATATGTATATATGGTGTTCTTGTGGGTTTTTTCGGGCTATAGGGCCATGTTCTAGAGGCATTTCTCCTGACGTTTCGCCTGCATCTATGGCAAGCACCCTCAGAGGTAATGAGCTCACTACCTCTGAGGATGCTTGCCATAGATGCAGGCGAAACGTCAGGAGAAATGCCTCTAGAACATGGCCCTATAGCCCGAAAAAACCCACCATGAAAGCCTTCGACAATATTTATGGTGTTTAAGTTTTAGGGTGTTTAATTTTAGGGTGTTTAAGTCTGTTCCACTGGGGTTTTGTGTGTGTGTGTGTGTGTTTGTGTGTGATGGACACTCATTGGACCGTTAGGTGTCTTGTGTACAAATTTCATGTCAATTCGTCCAGTGGTTTTTGAGTTAATCCCACAAACGAGCATTACATTTTTATGTATATAGATTGCCCGTTGTCTGATGTAAGACTGCTGTTTTGTTTTGGACTTTACCAGAGACTTGAGTATTGTGTCTGCATTAAGACTTCTTTGCTTTCTTTTGCATTATACAACTGTGTGTGTGCTGTTCCCTTATGTTTTGTTGAAATAGTTTACTTTCAACGTGGTTTTAAGGCTGTTCTTGGGGGGCAAATCAGGACAGAGAGTTTGTAGGTTGTCTTTCTTCACCCTATGTAGCATGTATTTGTTTATGCGCCGCCTTTCTCCCTCCTGAGCGGAACCAGAGGCACCTGCTAGGGCTGCTCCCAATTAGCTCGGCGTTTCTAGCAGAGTCGCCTGTTAAGGGCTGAAAAATGCAGTATAGAAATAAAGCAAAATAAATAAATTCTGGCCTGGGATGTGCAGAAGGGGTGAGTTGAGGCTTCTCTTGTGTCCTTCCTCCACCCCCAGATTGGCTCCCACATCAAGAACCGTGTGCAGGAGCTGGGCCACGGCTGTGCCGCTCTCGTGACCAAGGCCGGTGCGCTCCAGTGCAGCCCCAGCGACGCTTACACCAAGAAGGAGCTGATCGAGTGCGCACGAAGGGTCTCCGAGAAGGTACCCAGAAAGGAACTGCTGCGTTCCATCTATTCATGCTCTGATATCCCATTGCCACTTCACGTTCGATGTGTAATATGTAGTTTGCTGTGGATCAGTGTTTCTCAACCTTCCGAAAGCTGTGAGCCCTTAATATAGTTCCTCATATGTGGTGGTGACCCCCAACCACAACAATATTTTCACTACTTCTTCATAACAGTCATTTTGCTCCTGTTCTGAATCATCGTGTAAACACCTGATAGGCAGGATGTTTTCATTCACTGGACCAAATTTGGCACAAATACCCAATACACCCCAATTTATATACTGGTGGGGTTGGGAGTTGTAGTTCACCTTCATCCAGAGAACACTGTGGACTCAAATAATGATGGATCCGGACCAAACTTGGCATAAATACTCAATATGTCAAAATGCGAACACTGATGGAGTTTGGGGAAAATAGACTTTGACATTTGGGAGTTGTAGTTGCTGGGATTTATAGTTCACCTACAATCAAAGAACATTCTGAACTCCACCATCAATGGAATTGAACCAAACTTGGCACACAGAACTCCCATGACCAACAGGAAATACTGGAAGGGTTTGGTGGGCATTGGCCTTGCGTTTGGGAGTTGTAGTTCACCTACATCCAGAGAGTACTGTGGACACAAACAGTGAAGGATCTGGACCAAACGTGGCACGAATACTCAATATTCCCAAATGTGAACAATAGTGGAGTTTGGAGAAAATAGACTTGACATTTGGGAGTTCTAGTTGCTGAGATTTATAGTTCACCTACAATCAAAGAACATTCTGAACTCCACCAATGATGGAAGTGAACCAATCTTGGCCCATAGAACTCCCATGACCAACAGGAAATAGTGGAAGGGTTTGGTGGGCATTGGCCTTGAGTTTGGGAGTTGTAGTTCACCTACATCCAAAGAGCACCGTGGACTCAAACAATGATGGATCTGGACCAAACTTGGCACAAATACTCAATATGCCCAAATGTGAACACTAGTGGAGTTTGGGGAAAATAGACCTTGACATTTGGAGTTGTAGTTGCTGGGATTTATAGTTCACCTACAATCAAAGAACATTCTGAACTCCACCAAAATGGAATTGAACCAAACTTGGCACACAGAACTCCCATGACCAATAGACAATACTGGAAGGGTTTGGTGGGCATTCGCCTTGAGTTTGGGAGTTGTAGTTCACCTACATCCAGAGAGCACTGTGGACTCAAAAATGATGGATCTGGACCAAACTTGGCACAATACTCAATATGCCCAAATGTGAACACTGGTGGAGTTTGGGGAAATAGACCTTGACATTTGGGAGTTGTCAGTTGCTGGGATTTATAGTTCACCTACAATCAAAGTAGTTCACCAACAATGGAATTGAAACAAACTTGGCACACAGAACTCCCATGACCAACAGAAAATACTATATTTTCTGATGGCCTTTGACGACCCCCTCGTGACCCCACCTAGGGGTCCCGACCTCCAGGTTGAGAAACACTGCTCTAGGTGTTTTGGACTCCAACTCCCACAATTCCTCCAACTCCCAAAGCCTCTGGCCCTTTCCTTTTTCCCCTCCACTAAGCGGCTGAGGGGGGAAAAGGAAAGGGCCAGAGGCTGTTAGGAATTGTGGGAGTTGGAGTCCAAAACACCTGGAGGGATGGAGTATCCTTTTGCCTGTTTGAAGTGATGCCAATTTGAAGCAAATGTGAATGTTGCACTTAGCAAACTTGAGTAGCCTTGTACTTTTTGGAGACAGCAAAGGGAAATGGCCAGGCCAGGGGGTCAAGAGACCACCCAGCTGTCGTGTTGTGGGGTCTGCACGGATGCAAACGCCGCCCCTCTTCCCCGCAGGTCTCCCACGTCCTGGCAGCCCTGCAGGCCGGCAACCGGGGCACCCAGGCCTGCATCACCGCGGCCAGCGCCGTGTCCGGCATCATCGCCGACCTGGACACCACCATCATGTTCGCCACAGCCGGCACCCTCAACCGGGAGAACGCAGAGACGTTTGCTGACCACAGGTACGGGGAGGGGGCAGGGGACCTTTCAAAAAGAATAACAAAAAAGGAAGGAAAAAGAAAGAGAGGGAAGTTTTTTTAAAAAACTTACTTTGAAGCCTGTGCTCTAACATGGGCCAGAGACTGGACTATACTACAGAAAAAGAAACTACTAACCCTTGAGGGAATAGATTTAAGAGCGGGGTGGCACCATTACATTTGGTATAAAGGGAAAGAAAAAGAAAAAAAAATTGGGAATCATTTCACAAGGTCTGCAATACTAAAAGTTTGGGAAAAGTATAGATTAAAATTGTACACCAGAACACCACTCTGGGTGTCGCCTTTGGAGGCGACGCAAAGAAGATGCCTAGGGTGGAATGACTGGCCCGTTTACAGGGAAATATTAAAAATTAGACAAGGGGAGACAGAAATAAAAGAACAACAGGAATTAGTCCTAATTGACAAAAATATAACATGGTTTCAATACTGGCAAATCAAAGAAAAATTTGAATTGGATAGGAAATTAGGCTTTGCACAAGGTAATGAATTTTGGGATAACATCATGGAAACAGACAGGAAGTTGATAACCAAGCTATATAAAAAATTATTAGAATGGCACCTGGGACAAAAGGAAGAGAAAAATTATATGAGAAGATGGAATGAAAACATACAAAGAAACATCAGGAAAGAGGAATGGAAGGAAATTTGGAGAAAAAGACTAAAGTATACGTACGCAATAGAGCTTAGGGAAAATTGGGTGAAAATGTCGCAAAGGTGGTACTTAACCCCGAAAAAATTAGGTAGAATATACAATAATACCAGCACGGCCTGCTGGAAATGCAGGAGTAAAGAAGGGTCCTTTTTTCATGCATGGTGGACGTGTGATAAGGCGAAGATTTTTTGGAGGAAAATACATAAAGAAATTCAAAGTATGCTGAAAATACAGCTACCTCTGAAACCGGAGATCCTTCTCCTGGGGATGTATGATAGAAAATTAGAGGAAAATAAGGATAAAATACTATTCTTGGCCTTGACAGCAGCAAGAATGTGCTACGCCAAAGTATGGAGACAAGAAGAGATACCGGAGATAAATGATTGGGTAACTAAAATGCTGGATATCAGGAACCTAGACAAATTAACCTTCTTACTGTTAAAGAACAAAGAAACTAAAAGGAAAGAAACGGACTGGAGTGAAGTCACAGAATATCTAAAAAAGAAGAAAGAAGAAATAGTAATCTAAGAAATATAAAAATAGGCTGAAATACGTCAAAAAGAGGGAAAGAAGAAAAACAATAATATAAATTATAAAAAGACTGATAAGATTTCCCGAAGATACCAGGAGGTCAATTTTTAATTTCCTTTTTTTTTTCTTTTTTTTTTCCCCCATTTTCTTCCATACCTTTTTTATTTTATTTTATTTTCATGAAAATTTCAATAAAGAATATTTTTAAAAAAATGTAATGTTTCCTCCCTTGAAGACAATTCAGATGTTTTAAATTTGTGATTTTGCATGTTGGCTTACATCTTTCTTTTGATTTGTTCCATTTGAATAAACTAACCATGATATGAAACCTAAAAAAAAAAAAAGAAAGAAAGAGAGGGAAGGAGGAACGAAAGAGAAAGGGAGGAAGGGCGTAAGTGTGGAAGGGAAGGAAGGATTGAAGGGGAATGAGAGAGGTAAGGAAGGGAAGGAGGAAGGAAAGAGAAAAGGAAGGAAAGACAAATTAGATATATAGTGGAAAGTTTAGCAAAACAAAAGAGCTTGGAGTGGTTAGAAGAAGATAAAAATTAGAACTGAAATTAGAATACATTTTTTATAGGGATAATAGAGAAAAGGGTAAAAAGAAATGGTATAACAATTTAAACAATCCCTTTCTAAAAAATATTTTAGAGATTTGGGGAAGATATAAAAAACCCTAATGCCAGGTATTTCTCCTATCATGCCAGTTTTAATGACAGAAAACTTCCCAGAAAATTTTAAAAAAGAACTTGAAGTAGAACTTAATGGAAGAGGTTTAATGAAAATAAAAGACTGGGATCTGAAAATGTTAAATATGGAAAAAATAAAAGAGGAATTAGGAGACTTAGATTGGTATAAGTATTTACAATTGGGTAAATGGTCAAGTGATATAAGGAAAAAGTATAATGGAGGGAGGGAATACACAAAAATAGAAAAGATGATAACTCAAAAGGAGACTAAAGAAGAGAATATAACATTTAAAGGCACAGTAAGTGAGATCTATAAACTGTTATTAATGAATGAACAGGAACAAGATTATTTGAAGGAAGTATGGGAAACAGACTTGGGGGGGAAATGAATAATCAAGAATGGGCAAACATATGGAATATGAGAATACTAAAAATATGTCTATCAGAATTAAAGAAAATTACTACAAAATGATATGGAAGTGGTATCTAACCCCTATTAGATTAAATCAGATTGATAAAAAAATATTCAAATCAGTGTTGGAGAGGTTGTCAGGAAATAGGGACGTATCTTCATATGTGGTGGTCATGTTACATTATACAAAAATTTTGGGAAAGCATATTCAAAGAAATAAGAGCAATAATAAAAATAGAGACTGAGATTACACCAAAATTAGCTTTATTACTTATACATGATAATATAATTCCTGTACAAGAAGAAAAGGAATTGGTTTCTAATTTGATAACAGCAGCTAAATTGTTGTAGTACTTTGGCCACATCATGAGAAGAAAGGGAAGCTTAGAGAAGTCAATGATGCTTGGGAAAATGGAAGGAAAAGGAAAGAGGGACCGACCAAGGGCAAGATGGATGGATGGCATCCTTGAAGTGACTGGACTGACCTTGAAGGAGCTGGGGGTGGTGACGGCCGACAGGGAGCTCTGGCGTGGGCTGGTCCATGAGGTCACGAAGAGTCGGAGACGACTGAACGAATGAACAACAACAACATGATAATATAATTCCCGTACAAGAAGAAAAGGAATTGGTTTCTAATTTGATAACAGCAGCTAAATTGTTAATAGCAAAAAATTGGAAGGAAAAAAAAGAAATTCAATTAGAAGAATGGTATAGGGAAATTTGCAATATAGCGATTAATGATAAGCTAACTTGCAATATTAAAATTAAAAGGGGTATATGTAAACAAACAGACTTTTGGAAAATATGGGGAAAATTTATTGAGTATGTGTTTAATGAGGGAAAGGGGTATAAGCCAGCAAGAGAAACAATGATATTCTGGAATTGTGAAACAACATGAGTTGGTTGGTCCTGGTGGAGGGGGCACAAACTAAGGGTAAGGGGAAGAGGGGGGGGAGTATTGAAGAGAAATAACAGGAGTGGACCATGGTCAATATCCAAAGAGCGCTCATCATTATGTTTCCAAAACAAAATAAGATTGAATGATGGGACATGTCTAGGATGTGCATGTTGCATATATGTTACTATCATATTGTATTTGGAGAGTGAATGAGTGACTTGATTATAAGGATTGGTCAGATTCTAATTATTATTATTTTGTTTTGTAAATTGAGAGAAGTCTGAATTGACTTATAGTTAGTTAAGAATTTGTAGTAGTTATAGAGTATAGGAATAATTTAGTGATAAAGGTATGTTTACTTAATGTTTATGTTAAATTGAATAAATGCAATAAAAATAATTTTTTAAAAAAGGAAAGACAACATGGTGAGAGAGAGGGGAGCCTGAGGGGCCGCATCCAGGGCTGGGTTTGCCCATCCCTGGTATAGATGCACCCCAATGTTTACCTTTCCGTTCCTAAAGCAGTGTTGCTCTTCACACTTTTGTTTTTAAAGAAGGGATCCTAATCAATGACCATATGACAGAGAGTGCACTTTTTGCCGCTTTGCATTACATTTGCCAGTGTCCGGAGTCAATTTCTGACGGCATGAAGACATCACAAATTCCCCGCCGTGACATCCTGACTGAATCATCCTGGCTGAATCAATTTTCTCTGTGACATTTTGAAGCCAGCAGAGGGTGCTGGAAGCCTTATATTGGAACTTGTGAAGCAACAAGTTCTAATAAGGAACATGAGAAGAGGGGGAAATGGGCAGGAAAGGCGTATAAAAGGAAGTGGTGGTGGGGAAAAGTCCGGAGTGTCTTTCTTTGCTACAGAGATACAAGCAATATATCCATTTCAAAGCAAAACCAGCTTGTGAGTGGTTATTTAATATTGCTATATAGATCCTACAGTCCTACAGCCAGCAAATAATGTTTTGTTTTGAAAATAGAGGTGCACATTAGATTCGATGGTGCATGGCACTCGATGTGGGTAGTCAATGTTTTCTCCCACCATTGGTGTGAAAAGGTGATAATAAGACCGGCCTGGTCCTTCCTTCCTTGGCAGGGAGGGCATCCTGAAGACGGCAAAGGCGCTGGTGGAGGACACCAAGGTGCTGGTGCAGAACGCCACCGCCAGCCAGGAGAAGCTGGCCCAAGCTGCCCAGTCCTCCGTGGCCACCATCACGCGCCTGGCCGAAGTGGTCAAGCTGGGCGCTGCCAGCCTGGGCTCCGAAGACCCTGAAACTCAGGTCAGCCACAAGAAGGGGAACATGGGAGGGAACAAGGTGTATCGCAAGCACGAGCCATCTTTGGCCTTGCCTCCAGGTGCTTTGGACTTCAACTCCCATCATTCCTAACAGCCTCAGGCCCTTTCCTTTTCCTCCTCAGCCGCTTAAGCGGCTGAGGGGGGAAAGGAAGGGGCCTGAGTCTGTTAGGAATGATGGGAGTTGAAGTCCAAAGCACCTGGAGGGAGGGCCGAAGATGGCCCGTGCCTGGTATATAGGGTGGTGTCCCCTTCCCCGCTTCCCCAATCCTGAACGTGGGTCCTGCATCCTTTCAGGTGGTCTTGATCAACGCAGTGAAGGATGTGGCCAAAGCTCTGGGCGATCTCATCAGCGCCACGAAGGCCGCAGCCGGCAAATCTGGCGATGACCCGGCGGTCTACCAGCTGAAGAATTCGGCAAAGGTAGGAGTTGTCAGGGCTTAAAACTCCAGTTTTTGCAGAAGTTCTGGTTAAGGAACCAGGTCTCCAGTTTATTCATTGACAGTATTTATATTCCACCGTTCTCCTCACCCGGCAGGGGACTCAGGGCGGATTACAATGTACACATATATGGCAAACATTCAATGCCAATTTTTGACATACAACATATACAGACATAGACAGAGGCTATTTAATTTTTTCTGGCCTCCAGGGGAGCTGTCGCTTTCATCGTCCATCTGCGAAACTGATGAAGTACTTCCGCATTCCCCGCATGCTTTGCTGGAGTCTTTTTTATGACCTTGTAAATTAGATAATAATAATAATAATAATAATAATAATAATAATAATAATAATAATAAAGCTTTATTTGTAACCCGCTACCATCTCCCAAGGAACTCGGTGCGGCTTCCATGAGGCCGAGCCCATAAACAACAATACAAGCAATAATAACAACAATACAAGAAATTAAAATAAAACATGGACAATAAAATAACGAAACATAACAATAAGACAACACACAATTCAAACTAAGGGAAGGACAAATTAGCCTCCCCACACATAGGTGGTACCTAATTTTCCTACTTGACGGATGCAACTGTCTTTTGGGTTGCAAAGGTCAACAACAAGCTACACAACTGGTCGGAAGCTCACTCCGACGTAGGCTGGCTTCGAACTCATGACCTTATGGTCCGAAGTGATCTTAATGCAGCTGACATCTGGAATATTGTGTCCAATCTGGAATATTGTGTCCAATTCTGGGCACCACAACTGAAGAGAGATATTGACAAGCTGGAATGTGTCCAAAGAGGGTGACTAAAATGATCAAGGGTCTGGAGAACAAGCCCTATGAGGAGCGGCTTAGGGAACTGGGCATGTTTAGCCTGAAGAAGAGAAGGCTGAGAGGAGATATGATAGCCATGAATAAATGTGTGAGAGGAAGCCACAGGGAGGAGGGAGCAAGCTTGTTTTCTGCTTCCTTGGAGACTAGGACACGGAACAATGGCTTCAAACTACAAGAGAGGAGATTCCATCTGAACATGAGGAAGAACTTCCTGACTGTGAGAGCCGTTCAGCAGTGGAACTCTCTGCCCCGGAGTGTGGTGGAGGCTCCTTCTTTGGAAGCTTTTAAGCAGAGGCTGGATGGCCATCTGTCGGGGGTGATTTGAATGCAATATTCCTGCTTCTTGGCAGAATGGGGTTGGACTGGATGGCCCATGAGGTCTCTTCCAACTCTTTGATTCTATGATTCTATGACACCCAGACAGCTGCGCCACAGTTGTGAGTGAGTAGTTTTGTACTCAAACAACAAAAGACACAGAGACTTTTTTTCTTTCCCGAATAAGCATGAAGGTTTTTCTTTCTCTTTTATTTATTTATTATTTTACTTTGCTTCTATACCGCTGTATCTCAAGCCCGAAGGCGACTCACAGCGGTTCACAAACAGTAAAAACAGTAGAAACAGCAGTGGTTCCATACAACATATAACAATTGACTTACCACATTATCCATAAATTACCAATAAGCAATTACAATGCACAATTATTACAAAAAACAACCGTACCCAATCTTCTCATCATCCAAGCGTAGTCCAGGTTCGTCGTCCATTGTTCCATTCCTATGTTCCATTACCAGATTGCACTAAATTACTCAAATGCCTGCACAAACATCCAGGTCTTCACCTTTTTCCGGAATACCATTAGAGATGGTGCTAGTCTAATGTCCGTAGGAAGGGCGTTCCACAGCCGAGGAGCCACCACCGAGAAGGCCCTATCTCTCGTCCCCGCCAGCCGAGCTTGAGAAGCAGGCGGGATCGAGAGCAGGGTCTCCCCGGAAGATCTCAAAGTCCTGGTGGGTTCATAGGCAGAGATGCGGTCAGATAGGTAGCTTGGGCCGGAACCGTTTAGGGCTTTAAAGGCCAACGCCAGCACTTTGAATTCAGCCCGGTAGCAGATCGGTAGCCAGTGGAGTTGGCGCAACAGGGGGGTTGTATGCTCCCTGCGCTCCGCTCCTGTTAAAATCATGGCTGCCGAGCGTTGGACTAGTTGGAGCTTCCGAGCTCTTCAAAGGCAACCCCACGTAGAGAGCGTTGCAGTAGTCTAAACGGGATGTAACCAGAGCGTGGACTACCGTGGCCAAGTCAGACTTCCCAAGGTACGGGCGCAGCTGGCGCACAAGCTTTAGCTGTGCAAATGCTCCCCTGGTCACCGCCGAAACCTGGGTTTCCAGGCTCAGCGATGAGTCCAGAGTCACACCCAAGCTGCGAACCTGCACGTACCATGTATGCACAAAATATACTTTCTTCCTCACTACTTCTTTTCCAATATTGTGAGGACTGACTTCCTCGAATAGCCAAATTCAGTTATGCTCTTTGCTTTGCACTTTCCTCCCTAAAGATACCTTGCAGCGTGCATTGCAACTCAGGGGCCATTTCTGGGCCCTCGAAATGCATATTAATTCCTGGGTTCCTTGCAGGTGATGGTCACCAATGTCACTTCGCTGCTGAAGACGGTGAAGGCAGTGGAGGACGAGGCCACCAAGGGCACGCGGGCGCTGGAGGCCACCATCGAGCACATCCGCCAGGAGTTGGCCGTGAGTGACCCTCCCTCCCTCCCTCCCTCCCTCCCTCGTGCCACCGCTGCCCCTCCCTGTGTTGTGACTCAACTGGAATCATAGAGTGATAGTGTCAATGATTCTGGTGGGGATGATGGGATTCAGATTCAGATGCAAAGCAAGGATGTCCCTGTGTTAGACGAAGACCAGGAAAAGGGGGCAGAAGTTCAGTTGTTTCCCACAGCAAGGGATGACGCTCAGGAAAGTGAAACTTCTGAGAACTAGGTGCAGGATTCAGGAAGGGAGGATAGTTCTCGGCCTGATAATGAGGGGAAAAGCACTAATGAGGAAATTGACCTTGATGAAGCCGGAGGTTTAGATTGAGCTGATCGGTTGGAATTTAAGGTTCGAAGGAGTGTCAGGATCACTAGCAGGTGAGAGAGGGAGGCTCGGGGCCAGAGGTACACCTTCATGTTGTCCAAAGAGTATTAAACAGGCTGTTTGAACATGCCTCAGTGTCAGAGCAACTTCCCGCTTCAACCAAGAGACTTTGGATTTATCTTGCAGCTTTTCAGGCTCATGTTTCAGGACTTTGTCATGTTCTCCTGGGACTTTGCCTTGCTTGTGTCTTCATGGATCTTGTTTGCCTATGCTACCTTGGATTGATCTTTTGAAATATGCTTTTCCCTTTTGAACTTTTTATCTTTTATTTTAATAAACCATAAAGGCTATTGCTGGTGTGCTCTTTGGTGTCCTAAGCAAGGTGGTTCTACTCTGAGGTGCGACACCCAGCCACTTTCCTTTCCGTTCTTCTCCACCGCAGGTCTTCTCCTCCCAGGTGCCCCCTGCCAAGACCTCCACGCCCGAGGACTTCATCCGCATGACCAAGGGCATCACTATGGCCACGGCCAAGGCGGTGGCGGCCGGCAACTCGTGCCGACAGGAGGACGTGATCGCCACCGCCAACCTCAGCCGCCGCGCCATCGCCGACATGCTGCGTTCTTGCAAGGTGGGTGGAAGGGGGCAAAGGGAGAGGAAGGGGGGCCAAGCAAGAGAGAGGCAATGCAACAAAGTGGGCACACTTTTGACCCAAAGGCTTCCTTGCCTGGGATGAGGGGTAGAAGATGTTACGGTTTGGCAATGCATGCAGACCAGCGGAAGATTAATTCTTTGTATATTCAATAATAATAATAATTTGTGATTTTGTGATACAGAATCCAGCATGTAGATCTCATTTGCTGTGACATACTGTGCTCTTGTGTCAGTAAAATCGATATAAATAAAAATGTATTGTTCATTTGTGGGATTAACAGAACTCAAAAACCACTGGGGGAATTGACACCAAATTTGGACACAATACACCTAACAACCCAATGTATGTCCTTCACTCATAAAAACACTGAAAAACACAGCAGAAGGGACTTAAAAGCCCCCAAAAGCTAAATGATGAAAAGCTAAATGACAATACAGAAAAAAGGGAAGAAAGAGGGAGGGAAGGGGAGAAAAGAAAGAAAGAAAGAAAGAAAGAAAGAAAGAAAGAAAGAAAGAAAGAAAAAAGAGAAAGAGGGAGGGAAGGTTGGCCGCAGCAATATGTGGCGGGTACAGCTAGTAAATAAATAAACAAACAAAGAAAAGGGAGTGAAAGAAAGAAGGAAAGGGAGAAGGAAGAGAACAAAGAGAAAAGGAAAGAAAGAGGTAGAGAAGGAAGAAAGGAGAGAAAGAGGGAGGGAAAGAAAGGAAAGGGAGAAGGAAGCATGGAAGCAAAGAGAGAAGGAAGGAAAGAGGTAGAGAAGGAAGAAAGGGAGAAAGAGGGAGGGAAAGAAAGAAAGGGGAAGGAGAGGAGAAAGAGAAGGGGAAGGTAGAGAAGGAAAAAGGAAGAAAGGGGAGGAAGGAAGAAGAAAGGGGAAGGAAGGAAAGAGAGAAGGAAGGAAGAAGAGAAGGAAAGAAGGAGAGAAAGAGGGAGGAGGAAAGAAAGGAAAGAGAAGGAAGATGGAAGCAAAAGAGAAAGGAAGGAAGAGGAGAGAAGGGAAAAGAAAGAGAGAAAAGAAAGAAGAAAGGAGAAGGAAGCATGGAAGCAAAGAGAGAAGGAAGGAAAGAGTAGAGAAGGAAGAAAGGAGAGAAAGAGGGAGGAAAGAAGAAGGAAAGAGAAGGAAGCATGGAAGCAAATAGAGAAGGAAGGAAAGAGGTAGAGGAGGAAGAAAGGAGAGAAGGAGGGAAAGAAGAAGGAAAGTGAGAAGGAAGGAAGGAGAGAAGGAAAAAGGAAAGAAGAAAGGAAAGAGGGAGCGAAAAGAATTGAATAACACAATGGATCAAGAACATAGATATGCCCCACTCTGTTCTAAACTCATAATCTCCCATCTCTGTGCATTCCTGGCCTTCAGATAACCTATTTTAGAGTCAATTTAGGAATCAAATAGATAATGAAGAAAGATGTTAATTACTTCAGCTTTGATTTGCATTGTATAAGGCCTGTTTCAAAAATTAGTTGATATCTTTATAATGAGTTCAGTATTATAACATAAGAAATCAATAAATGCTTTGAATTTACTTAAAATGATAGAATGAACATTTGTTTTGATTTTCCTTGTCTCTCAGACACATAATGACTATCAATCTTTATCCATTAGACAATCCTTTAATAAGCCAAAATCCAGATTTTCACTTTGTCACCTCATAATGCTCTGATTCTACCTTCTCAAACTATATAACTATTGTTAATTCCTGTATACTGTGTTCTATCAGTACATCTGGAAAAGTTGAATTAATCCAAAAAGGTAATACCAAAATAAATCATTTAGTCAATGCTAGATTCAGCCCCCTTTATTATCTTCCTCACTTTTATTTTGATACTAAAACTGATTAACATAGCTATTTCTTTGAAGATAAGAATGGAAGTTTGTTTTTAAACTCAGTCTTAATATAGGGATTGTGTACAATCTGAGTGAGTTTAATCACAGACATCAAAGAATTGAAACATTTAGCCACTTTTCCAGAATTTCCAATGCTTCAGAATACTGCAGCATTGGAAAGTTTGTGCACTTTTGTGGTTCTAATAAAAATATCAGTTGCTTTAGATTTTCTTCTTCACTTTCCTGTTTTTCAAAAGTAATAAATCCGGTTGCTTAAAACTAGTACATAATACACTATTTGAACCATTCTGTTCTATACTGTACTGTAAAAATAAGAAAATATAAATTATACTTCAAAAGAAGTTATATTACATTGCATTACAATTTTATTATAAACCTTATTATTGATAAAGATAGTTACCCACACATTAATGATGTCTGCAAATATAATTAAATTAAATATATATAATTAATATTCGATAATTTATTTAATATATTGACTGCAGTCTGATTAATCATTGAATCAAAATAAATAAAAAAATTGTAAGACCACTGACAAAAATACATGAGATACATAAAGTTGGTTAAAAATGAATGAGTCTTCTCCAAATATTAAGTCATTTAATCAAAAATTTTAATTAATAAGTTTAATAATTTAAAAGGATTAATTGTTATATTAGTAATTAAATTTATAATTTAAAAATGTAAAAAAATATATCATTAATTAAATATTTATATATTAATAAATTATAGAAATATTTATTGAGAATAAATGAAAGGTGATAAGACCTCAAAGATAAATATATAATTAATGAAAGAGAACATTCTGAATTGATATTGAAATATGTATTTAAATAAATAATTAAATTTGATGAGGTGAAGGGAATTATAATAAGCTGAATTGAACTGTTCCTGTTTAATTGCTCTGATATCTCCCTTGCCATTTATGTTCCTATCCACCTTATTGATCTATTTAATATTTGTTTAATAATATTTATTTAATAAATATTTAAATATTTCAATAAATACTTATTTATTTAATAAATATTATTTATTTATTTATTTTATATGTTTATTATTTATTATTTATTTAATAAATATTTATTTAATAATATTTATTTAAATATAAATATTTAATAATATTTATTTAATAATAGATCTTATTGATCTACTTTTTAATCAATTTGTATGTTGGCCCCTTCCCCCCCCCCTCTCCAAAATTTGGGTTACTGTTGCTTGATGTTTGTTGTTATTGTTATGCTGTTTTGTGTCATTTTAATTTGTAACTTGCTAGAAATAGCTTTAATTAACAGTATTTCTGAAAAGATTGAGCAATTTTTATGTGTGGTGTCACTTTCCTAAACCATTACTTAAAATTCATGCTTTTACCTCTAGAATCATTTAATCAAATAATATTTTTGCATATCATTTTGTCAGTCATAATTATTTAAGCTTACATTTTCTGCAGGAATCCCAGAGAGTTGTGAGAGTGCATCACAAAGGTCAGATACACCCCCCATCATTGGCACCACTACTCGGCACTGGAAATGAATAGAACATAAAACTTACAGCTGGCAAAACAAGACCTAACCAAAAAAATACAAATGATTGACAAAATGATTTCCAACAATAATCAGTTCTGCTATTTTAATAAATGTCGTTTTCAGACCTGGGCTTGATCTGCAAGATATCTCATGATTCATATGCAAATATCCCAAACTTACAATTAAATTATATCCAAAATATTAACTTAAAAAACCCACTTCTGATCCCAAACATTTTGGATAAGGGAGACCTAGCCTGTATTGAGACTTAACATGGGTCGAAATTTCCATTATGCTGGCACATTGTTTTAAAAGATAGTTGCGCAAGGAGGTATTCTCAATCTTCTTGCGCAACAATTCCCACCATGATATTATTATTATTATATTTAATATTTATTATTATATATAATAATAATAATAAATTAATTATAATTAATTATAATTTATTATTATATTTAATAATAATTAATTAATTAATTATAATTTTTAATAATAATAATAATAATAAATTATTTTTAAATTTTTTAAATAATAATAATAATAATAATAATAATAATAATAATAATAATAATAAATTTATTTAATTTAATAATAAATAATTTATAATTTAATAATTTAAATAATTTAATAATAAATAATTTAATAATTTAATAATAAATAATAAATAATTTAATAATAAATATTTATTTAAATAAATAAAATAAATAAATAAATAAATAATAAAATCAAATGTGATATATATTTAAAAATAATATATTTATTTTAAATAATTAATAATAAAATGATATATATATTATTTATATTTACAAATAATATATATTTTAAGTAATTAATAAAATAATAATGTAGCAGCTGTTCTCTAATAAATATTAAAATAAAAATATACATTTTAATTAAATATTATATTAGTTAATAAATGTATAAAAATTAAATGTAAATAGCTGGCTGTATTTTCAACTTTATCATGAAATGCCCCAAATTTCTCAGGCTAATACATATTTTAGAGTAATAATGAAATATTTAGTAATTTATTTAAATAAAAATGTTATTTATTACATCCATTTTAACAATCTGAATTATATACATAAAAATAACTAAAATTAAATTATATTAATTTTAATATATAAATAATAATAATAAATTAAAATAATAATAATAATAATAATTAATAATAATAAAAAGTTTGTATTTATTAAATATATATATAATTATTTGAATAAAGATAATAAATTTCTTTATTAATTAATATTTGATTAGGTCACAAAAGGGACTATATAATATTTAGATTTTTTCTGGTTGGCCACAGCAATGTGTGGCGGGTACAGCTAGTAGTAGTGGTAGTAGTAGTAGTAGTAGTAGTAGTAGTAATAATAATAATAATAATAATAATAATAATAATAATAGCAGATGGGTAAATCCTCTGATGAGGTATAACGGTTGAATCAGATACCCACTAGCATGAAAACTACCATTCTGAACATGCTGCACATCTTTTACACCCTATTTTGACATTCTCTTTCCCTTCTCAAGGTAGATTTTGCCCCTTTTAAAGGAAAATTATGCAGGGATTCTCACCCAGATGCATAACCGCATAACTATGACTCTGATTTTGTAATGAAATCATGTCTGTCTTCAGCAATTGTAATGCTCTCCATAGTTAATAGATTGTAATGTATATTGATTATGTTGGGAAGTGAAGACAATATATATTCTGGGTTGTTGTAGGTTTTTTCGGGCTATATGGCCATGTTCTAGAGGCATTTTCTCCTGACGCTTCGCCTGCATCTATGGCAAGTATCCTCAGAGGTAGTGAGGTCTGTTGGAAATAGGAAAATGGGTTTGTATACCACCTTAATTAGCATTTGATGGTTTGGCAGTGCCTGGGGGAATCTTTTGTTCAACAGAGAGGAAACAGAGAGGAAACAATCAGGGCCATCTAATCACCTCTCAACAAAAGATTCCCCCAGGCACTGCCAAGCTCCAGCAGACAAGAGTTCTTTGTCCCACCCTGGACATTATTCCACAGATATATAAACCCCATTTTCCTACTTCCAACAGACCTCACTACCTCTGAGGATGCTTGCCATAGATGCAGGCGAAATGTCAGGAAAAAATGCCTCTAGAACATGGCCCTATAGCCCGAAAAAACCTACAGCAACCCAGTGATTCCGGCCATGAAAGCCTTTGACAATACAATATATATTCTGCCACTTTGGTCGAGTGTGTCTTCGCTTTCAGTGTGTTTTTTTGGGGGGGGGGGGTGAGCACACTCACGTTTGTGGGGCTGCTCCTCAGTGAGGTCTTGCTCCGCAGGAGGCAGCCTACCATCCGGACGTGAGCGGGGAGGTGCGCCACCGGGCCCTGCGCTTTGGCCAGGAGTGCGCCAGCGGATACCTGGAGCTCTTGGAGCACGTGCTGGTGGTAAGAGCCATCCTTCCCATCCGGTGGGGAGGTGTGGGGCTCGGTCTCGGTGGGGGCTTCCCTTCTTTCCTTCCTTCCTCTCGCCTTACCTCTTCCTTCTTTCTCTCCTCTTCTGGGCAGCCGGTGAGTACGGCGTGTGCCATGCATGAGAGCGTGTGCCACCTGGCATGGCGTGGTGTGCCGTAGCCTGCCATGTGTGTGAGCACGGTGTGGGGTGAAAGGGACGTAGGGAACAGGGGGACTAGCACATGATGGGGCCATTGCTGTGGCTGAGTCCGATATGACTCCTCAACACGGATCTGAACCCTGAACTCCTCGATGCTCCCCTCTGGCCTGTGTGTTGTGATATAGGGTGCCATGGCGTGCAGGTGCCGTGTTCCCTAGGCGAGGCAGAACTTCTAAGGGGCTGGCCTTGGGTTCAGAAGTCCCACTTCTGGTGGGATACCTGTGTTTACTCAAGTCTAATGCACCATCAAATCTAATGCGGAACTCAATTTTCAAAACTTTTTTTAGTTTTATTTTTATTTTTAATTTTTTTAGCTTAGCATGACCTTTTTGAGATCATAACCTTTTAGAAAATGGCTTTTATAGCCTTTTAGAGAAGTGCCAAAGACTTTTTAAAAAGTTTTTTAGTCTTAAAAGGTTTTTTAAAAGGTATTTTAGGGATGTTTTAGGTTTTTTTTAGTTTACCATGACCTTTTTGAGATCATAACCTTTTAAAAAATGGCATTTATAGCCTTTTAGAGAAGCAGCAAAAACTTTTTTTTAGTTTTTTTAGAGTTTTTAAAAGGTTTTTAAAAGGTTTTTTTTAGTTTCTATTTTTTTATTTTCTTAGTTTTTAAAGTTATTTTTAGTTTTTTTAGTTTAGCATGGCCTTTTTGAGATCATAACCTTTTAAAAAATGGCTTTTATAGCCTTTTAGAGAAGTGTCAAAAACTTTTTTTAGTTTTTTTGTTTTGTTTTTTAGGGTTTTTAAAAGGTTTTTAAGGATTTCTTTTAGTTTTTTAGGGTTTTTTTTATATTTTTATTTTAGTTTAGCCTGACCTTTTTGAGATCATAACCTTTTAGAAAATGGCTTTTATAGCCTTTTAGAGAAGTGCCGAAAACTTTTTTTTAGGTTTTTTTTACAGGTTTTAAAGGTTTTTTAGGGTTTTTTTTTTAGTTTTTTAGGGTTTTTTGAGTTTAAAGCCTTTTAGAAAGGTGCCAAAAACTTTTTTTGGCACCAAGGTTATGATCTCAAAAAGGTCATGCTAAACAAAAAAAATTATTCAAAAATACCTTGATAAAACCTTTTAAAAACTCTTTAAAAACCTTTTAAATACCCTAAAAAACTAAAAAAAAATAAAAAAAGTTTTGGCACTTCTCTAAAAGTTTTTTAGGGTTTTTTAAAGGGTTTTTTTTAGTTTTTTAAGGTTTTTTTAAAAAAAATTGAGTTTAGCATGACCTTTTTGAGATCATAACCTTTTAGAAAATTGCTTTTATAGCCTTTTAGAGAAGTGCCAAAACCTTTTTTTTAGTTTTTTATGGTTTTTAAAAGGTTTTTAAAGGGTTATTTTTAGTTTTTTAAAGGTTTTTTTAAAAGATTTTTTGTGGTTTAGCATGACCTTTTTGAGATCATAACCTTTTAGAAACCTTTTTGAGATCATAACCTTAAGCGGCTGAGGGGGAAAACGAAGGGGCCTGAGGCTGTTAGGAATTGTGGGACTTGGAGTGCAAAACCCCTGGAGGGAGGGCCAAAGTTGGCCCAAAACACCCTTGGGTTGCATTCATTGCCCAAGTGGACCTCAACCCCTCCTCCTCCCCTCCACCTTTCCCCAAATGGCAGGTCCTACAGAAGCCAAGCCACGATCTGAAGCAGCAGTTGGCCGCCTACTCCAAGCGGGTGGCCGGATCCGTCACAGAACTCATCCAGGCGGCTGAAGCTATGAAAGGTGGGTTTCAGCTGGGGGCTGTTTGGGGGGGGGGGGTAGCCCTCTTTCTCCCTCAAACCAGGGCTTTGGAGGAAAATCAAAAGTGTCACAGGATGATTGCATGGAGAGTAAAGACACACACAACACCCCTGCTGGGTAGGCATGTGAATTCCCTCTCTCACATGCCTCTCCGGCTGCGTAATAGGACAGGCTACCTCAAAGGCAAGCTGTTAGTTCCGATCCAAAACACTGCAGAGTCTTGGTCACAGTGAACAGAGATTTTATAGCACAGCCTCTGACCTTGTTTAGTATCTCACCACTTGAATAAGCATAGCTGAGCTCTGGCTTTCCTCCAAACTCCTTTGGAGCTTTATTCTTCAATCGTTACTATATACAACTATGTACACATCTGCTATTAGTATACAGAGATACTCACAACCATAGCAAGACACTCACACAACAGAGATGGTGGTGGATTACAGATGCAGAGAGATCTTGGCCAGCTATCTCAGAAGGCAGAGAGCAAGAGCATGGCAAAGAGGAAGCTTACATGCAAGCCACTCCCATGTCTCCCTCCAGGGAGGAAATCACTGGGCTGTCTCTCTAGGGCCCCTTCCACACAGCTGAATAAAATACGCATTAAACTGGATTATATGGCAGTGTGGACTCAGATAATCCAATTCAAGGCAGATATTGTGGATTCTCTGTCTTGATATTCTGGCCTTAGGACCACATCTGTGCTTTCTTAACCCTTCAGTGGACTCTGCTGTGAACACATGCACATTAGAATTGTATTTTTCCCATCGTGGTCAACTGTGAATCGCGCATATGGGTTATTCCTGCGCCTGCGCAGAGTGGCTTCAGAACCTTCTAGCAAAATTATTAAACATTTTTGGTGGTAGCCCCGCCCACTCTCCCCCAAGAGTACATATAGCCAGTGGGAGGGGCTACAGCCTCCAGTTCTCTTTCTCCGCGCCTTTAGCAGCAGCTTGAGAACCTTCCTCTGACTAGTCCTTAATTGTACTTCATCGGACTGCCTTTTCCCCCGAGCCTTCTCCTTCCCTGACTTGGACTGGCTGACTTATCCTAAACTTTCTAATCCTGACCCTGGATTAAACTGGATTATATGGCAGTGTGGACTGAGATAATCCAGTTCAAAGCAGATATTGTGGATTGTCTGCCTTGATATTCTGGCTGTGCAGAAGGGCCTTAGGACCACATCTGTGCTTTCTTAACCCTTCAGTACACTCTTCTGTGAACACATGCACATTAGAATTGTATTTTTCCCATCGTGGTCAACTGTGAATCGCACATATGGGTTATTCCTGCGCCTGCGCAGAGTAGCTTCGGAACCTTCTAGCAAAATTATTAAACATTTTTGGTGGTAGCCCCGCCCACTCTCCCCCGGGAGTACATATAGACAGTGGGAGGGGCTACAGCCTCCAGTTCTCTTTCTCCGCGCCTTTAGCAGCAGCTTGAGAACCTTCCTCTGACTAGTTCTTAATTGTACTTCATCGGACTGCCTTTTTCCCCTGAGCCTTCTCCTTCCCTGACTTGGACTGGCTGACTTACCCTAAATTTTCTAATCCTGACCCTGGATTAAACTGGATTATATGGCAGTGTGGATTGAGATAATCCAGTTCAAAGCAGATATTGTGGATTGTCTGCCTTGATATTCTAGCTGTGTGGAAGGACCACATCTGTGCTTTCTTAACCCTTCAGTGGACTCTTCTGTGAACACATGCACATTAGAATTGTATTTTTCACCCACACTGGAGCTCCATGCAATGCATTCCTACCTAATACAGCATTTTTCTACCTGACAAAAGGCTCATAGGGATGGGAATGGCCTGGTAGGCTGTGTGCGGAGCCTAACCTCCTGCTCAACCATTGCAAGCGGCTTTGGTGGGATGGTGTGTGTGTGTTTCTGGGGGGTCACACTCTCTCCTCTTCTTCCTCCTCCTCCAGGAACGGAGTGGGTGGACCCCGAAGACCCCACGGTCATTGCAGAGAATGAACTGCTGGGAGCAGCAGCAGCCATTGAGGCTGCGGCCAAGAAGTTGGAGCAGCTGAAGCCCAGGGCCAAGCCCAAGGTGGGTCATGGAGACACACACACACCCAGTCATTCCCTGGTGGGGACCACATGGCCAATGGGCCTCCATAGCCCCCAGTGCCAGGAGAACGGAGAGGCACCCCATGCATGCTCAGTGCTCACACAGCCAGCGGCAGGGCAAAAAAGTCCATCCTGCTCCATAGGTTTGAGCAATTGCAGTTGTCATTGTTATATGTCAGGCATGGGACTCAAAGCAGCCTAACATAAAAGCATCAACATAACAATTTAAAATATACAAATATATAATATTCACAATAAAAATGAAAAACAATTGCAAGCTGAAATTATTACTACTACTAGGAGTAGTATATTGGTATCCCATTTTTATCTTGATCGAGACACAAAGCGGCTCACGGCATTGAAAAGCAAGGCAATTAAAAACCTGCAATATAGGATTATGAAAATATAATTTAAAATACAAGTCACTCTTGAAATTATAATATATGTGTGAGTGTGTGTATTTATTAATTGGAGCCCCAAGTAGCACAGTGGGTTAAACCGCTGAGTTGCTAAACTTGCTAACCGAAAGGTCACAGATTTAAATCCAGGGAGCAGTGTGAGCTCCCGCTGTCAGCCCCAGCTTCTGCCAACCTAGCAGTTCGAAAACATGCAAATGTGAGTAGATCAATAGGTCCCGCTCTGCTGGGAAGGTAACGGTGCTCCATGCGGTCATGCCAGTGGCCACATGACCTTGGAGGTGTCTACAGACAACGCCGGCTCTTCGGCTTAGAAATGGATCAGACACACACAGACTTCATGTCAGGGGAAAACCTTGACCTTTACTATTTATTAATTACCTGCCTCTCCTTGTGGCTCTAAACCAGGCCTGGGCAAACTTTGGCCATCCCTCCAGATGGTTTGCACTCCAACTCCCAGAATTCCTCACAGCCTCATTCCCCTTCCTTTTCTCTTTCCTTTTCCACCTAAGCAGCTGAGAGGGGAAAGGAAGGGGCTCAAGGCTGTTAGGAATGGTGGGAGTTGGAGTCCAAAACACCTGGAGGGAGGGAGAGAGGGAGGGCCCAAGTAGGCCCAGGGCTTTTCGACACTAAGTATTCTATTTTCCTTTTTAAAACTTTAAAAAAATTTCCCTAACAACAACAACAACAACAATAATAACTTTGTATTGTCAAAGGCTTTCATGGCTGGAATCACTAGGTTCTTGTGGGTTTTTTCGGGCTATAGAGCCATGTTCTAGAGGCATTTCTCCTGACGTTTCCCTGCATCAACAGACCTCTACCTCTGAGGATGCTTGCCATAGATGCAGGCGAAACGTCAGGAGAAATGCCTCTAGAACATGGCTCTATAGCCCGAAAAAACACCTCACTACCTCTGAGGATGCTTGCCATAGATGCAGGCGAAACGTCAGGAGAAAAGCCTCTAGAACATGGCTCTATAGCCCGAAAAAACACCTCACTACCTCTGAGGATGCTTGCCATAGATGCAGGCGAAACGTCAGGAGAAAAGCCTCTAGAACATGGCTCTATAGCCCGAAAAAACACCTCACTACCTCTGAGGATGCTTGCCATAGATGCAGGCGAAACGTCAGGAGAAAAGCCTCTAGAACATGGCTCTATAGCCCGAAAAAACACCTCACTACCTCTGAGGATGCTTGCCATAGATGCAGGCGAAACGTCAGGAGAAAAGCCTCTAGAACATGGCTCTATAGCCCGAAAAAACACCTCACTACCTCTGGGTGATGGTTGGAGCCATTCCACAGCCATTCCACAGATATATAAACCCATTGTCCTAATTCCAACAGACCTCACTACCTCTGAGGATGCTTGCCATAGATGCAGGCGAAACGTCAGGAGAAATGCCTCTAGAACATGGCTCTATAGCCCAAAAAAACCCACAAGAACCTAGTGATTCCAGCCATCCCAGCCATTCCACAGACATATAAACCCATTGTCCTAATTCCAACAGACCTCACTACCTCTGAGGATGCTTGCCATAGATGCAGGCGAAACGTCAGGAGAAATGCCTCTAGAACATGGCTCTATTGCCTGAAAAAACCCACAAGAACCTAGAGGATGCTTGCCATAGATGCAGGCGAAACGTCAGGAGAAAAGCCTCTAGAACATGGCTCTATAGCCCGAAAAAACACCTCACTACCTCTGAGGATGCTTGCCATAGATGCAGGCGAAACGTCAGGAGAAAAGCCTCTAGAACATGGCTCTATAGCCCGAAAAAACACCTCACTACCTCTGAGGATGCTTGCCATAGATGCAGGCGAAACGTCAGGAGAAAAGCCTCTAGAACATGGCTCTATAGCCCGAAAAAACATACAACAACCCAGTGATTCTGGCCATGAAAGTTTTCAACAATACCCAATTTTTCTTCTTTCCAACAGACCTCACTACCTCTGACGGTGCTTGCCATAGATGCAGGCGAAACGTCAGGAGAGAAATGCCTTCTAGAACATGGCCATATGGCCCGAAAAAACCTACAACAACCCTGAGATGCTTCCATAGATGCAGGCGAAACGTCAGGAGAAAGCCTCTAGAACATGGCTCTATAGCCCGAAAAAACACCTCACTACCTCTGAGGATGCTTGCCATAGATGCAGGCGAAACGTCAGGAGAAAAGCCTCTAGAACATGGCTCTATAGCCCGAAAAAACACCTCACTACCTCTGAGGATGCTTGCCATAGATGCAGGCGAAACGTCAGGAGAAAAGCCTCTAGAACATGGCTCTATAGCCCGAAAAAACACCTCACTACCTCTGAGGATGCTTGCCATAGATGCAGGCGAAACGTCAGGAGAAAAGCCTCTAGAACATGGCTCTATAGCCCGAAAAAACACCTCACTACCTCTGAGGATGCTTGCCATAGATGCAGGCGAAACGTCAGGAGAAAAACCCTTTTTCCTAGTTCCAACACACCTCACTACCTCTGAGGATGCTTGCCATAGATGCAGGCGAAATGTCAGGAGAGAATGCCTCTAGACCATGGCCATATAGCCTGAAAAAACCTCACTACCTCTGAGGATGCTTGCCATAGATGCAGGAGAAACGTCAGGAGAGAATGCCTCTAGAACATGGCCATATAGCCCGAAAAAACCTACAACAACCTCCCTACCTCTGAGGATGCTTGCCATAGATGCAGGCGAAACGTCAGGAGAGAATGCCTCTAGAACATGGCCATATAGCCCGAAAACACCTCACTACCTCTGAGGATGCTTGCCATAGATGCAGGCGAAACGTCAGGAGAAATGCCTCTAGAACATGGCTCTATAGCCCGAAAAAACACCTCACTACCTCTGAGGATGCTTGCCATAGATGCAGGCGAAACGTCAGGAGAAAAGCCTCTAGAACATGGCTCTATAGCCCGAAAAAACACCTCACTACCTCTGAGGATGCTTGCCATAGATGCAGGCGAAACGTCAGGAGAAATGCCTCTAGAACAGAGGTCGGGAACCTTTGGCCCTCCAGCTGTGGTGGACTTCAACTCCCACAATTCCTTGAGGCTCGGCATTCGCCCCAAAGGCTTACCTTGGCCCAACGAGGTTTGTTTGGCTCTTTTTCATGGAGGACGGGCAGCAAAGGGGGAGAGACGAGCGTAACGTAGCTGTGCAGATGGCGAGGAAGGATGCGGAGCCTACAGACTGGCCTCGGAGGGAGAGAGCGGGCGGAAACCCCTGCGGGCAACGCGCCTCCTCGCCGCTTAAACAGCGCAGAGCCCTTTCCCTCCAGCCTTCGCCTTCCCTTTTCCCCGACAAGCTCTGCACGACGTCACTCAGCCGGCGTCGTTGCTAGGGAGGGGGTCCATGCGGGGCGGGTGCTAAGGGCCGAAGCGGTGAGGAAGCGCGTTGCCCGCAGGGGTTTCCGCCCGCTCTCTCCCTCCGAGGCCAGTCTGTGGGCTCCGCATCCTTCCTCGCCATCTGCACAGCTATGTTACGCTCGTCTCTCCCCCTTTGCTGCCCGTCCTCCATGAAAAAGAGCAAACAAACCTCGTTGGGCCAAGGTAAGCCTTTGGGGTGAATGCCGAGCCTCAAGGAATTGTGGGAGTTGAAGTCCACCACAGCTGGAGGGCCAAAGGTTCCCGACCCCTGCTCTAGAACATGGCTCTATAGCCCGAAAAACCCACAAGAACCTAATAATAACTTTATTTTTATACCCAGCCTCCATCTCCCCAAAGGGACTTAGGGTGGCTTACACATGGGACAAAATGTCCACAAAAGTCAAAACAAAACAATCCATTAAAAGAAGAAGAAAAAAACAAGATTAAAATAAAACATAGCAAACCATAACAGGAAAATAAAACACAATTAAATAAATTTATTTATATAAATGGCCCAACTTCATTTATATCGTTATTTCCGTCCCCAAAGTGGAGAGTTTCTTTGCAGGTGCTGAGGGTTCCATGGGTCAGCTGTTGCGAGCTTAATTTGATCACAGGGCAATGGGATTAGAAATTACATAATTATTATAAGTACTTTTACCCCGCCCTTCTCAGCCCCCGAGGGAGGACTCAGGGCGGCTTACAAAAAAGGCACAATTCGATGCCTATACACTTTACACAAAATATACAAACCAAAGTTAAAAACAGTTAACGCAATCAAAACAAATCATAACTAGTACATAACACATCATATAAAAATCATATAAAACTAATCTCGTGCACAGCGTTCTGTTGTGGTTCAGCAGCAACAGCATGATGGGACTGAGAGTGCAGATGAGCATGATGGAAATGAGAGTACAGATGCAGGTGTGGGCTTTCAGTTTTCTCAGTCAAAATCTATAGCTAGCTAGAGACAAGCCGCTTTTCTCACGGGACCGGAATGTAGCTGATAAGGCAGTTGGTGGGGTTCAAGGTCAGGCTGCCCAGCAGGTGTTGAGACGGAGTTTACGAATTGCGGCCAAGTGTTGAGCTCATCCGTTGGTGGGAAAACTGCTTGTTAGCTGCCTGTTTGATGTTCAATGTTTTGATGTTTTACCTATAAGTAAACTGCCTTGGAGCTGGTTCTGTGTCAGTTCCAACATTGCTAAATGGCTTGCTGGCCTTCGGCTCTGGGGTTTGGGGAAAGCCTGGACTTTTACCCTGCTTCTATGCTTCAAGTCTCCTGCTTTGACTCAAAGGGATTGTATTGGATTTTTACCTTGTACAACTGATCTTTTCACTGCTGATGAACTGCTTTGTTTGAAAACCTCACAATAAACTTTCTACCTCACAATTTTGGCTGGTTTGTCAGAGATAGCAAGGTGAATCTTAGCCTGAGATACAACACGTTCCGTCTTTCAGAATTCCATCATTCTAATCCATTAATCATTTCCTAATCATCATCAAAGTTCTTTCTTCATCTGCCTGGTTGTCCAAATGCCTGGTCCCAAATCCATGTTTTCAGTTTTTTCCTGAAGGAAAGGAGCAATGTTGCAGATCTAATTTCCCCGGGGAGTGAATTCCACAGGTGAGGGGCCACCACTGAGAAGGCCCTGCTCCTCGTCCCCGCCAGCCTCACTTGTGATAGAGGCGGAGTCGAGAGCAGGGCCTCCCCGGAAGATCTTAGACTCCGGGGTGGGACCTAAAAGGAGATCCGTTAGGGATATAAATACCTTTTTTACACAACGGAGGCAAAAGTTTGGTCCCAACTCCTGTTTGATATTTTAGTAATCAAGACCAACCACTTTCCTAGCTTGTTTTCTTGTGTACGCCATTGGGAACGCTTTCTGTATATTACAAGCAAATCCAGAAGTGCTCTACTTGGCTTGAGTGTGCCATGTATTTTAAAATTAGAATGAATTACTTGCTCAGAGGGAGCTCTACTTTTATACTGTCCGGTTACACACATACACACATATGTGTTCTGGCAGTATAAAAGTAGATCTCCCTCTGGGTCAGTGAGCACGGTATATTCTGTTGTCATATTTTGGATTTTTGACCCCCGACAACAGCAAGCGGACGAGAGCCTGAACTTTGAGGAGCAGATCCTGGAGGCGGCCAAGTCCATCGCGGCGGCAACCAGCGCCTTGGTCAAGGCGGCATCGGCGGCCCAGAGGGAGCTGGTGGCCCAAGGGAAGGTCAGTCTGTGTGTGTGTGTGTGTGTATTGGGGAGGGGGTGGGTTCCCCTGTGTTGGGGGCGGGGCTTTCTCCTCCTCCTCCTGGAAGTACCTGGGACTCACCTGCCCCTGCCATTCCTCCATTTCCTCCTTCCATTTCTTCCCAGGTGGGTGCCATTCCGGCCAACGCTCTGGACGACGGTCAGTGGTCCCAAGGCCTCATTTCAGCGGTGAGTGTTCCATATTTGAACAAGTATTTATATAATTTTGCTTTTTACCCATCCTTTTGGAAAGGCATGGCCTTTGAGATCATAACCTTTTGGAAAACCGGAATCTCCAAAGCCTTTTGGAAGCGGGACATTTGGGAGATTAATTGGCATTCACGGCCATTTGCAAAATCATAACCCTTTTGAAAAGTATGATATTCCTGAGAAGAGTTAAAAACTCGCTTGAGGGAATCTTCTCCTTAGTGGTAAATATCCACTAGCATTCAGGCAAGGCAATTGGGTTTCTCAGTTGTTAGACTGATATCCCTGGTTATCCCTCTGAACTGTCAGGAACAAAGATATGCCAACGCACAAAATATATAGCAGATCATTGCAGCCAGGCGTTGGGGTCCCCAGCCCCCCTTTTGGCCTCTCCCCCTCCTCACGCTCTCTTTCTCCTCCGCAATCAAGGCCCGGATGGTGGCCGCGGCCACGAACAACCTGTGCGAGGCAGCCAACGCAGCGGTGCAGGGCCACGCCAGCGAGGAGAAGCTCATCTCTTCGGCCAAGCAGGTGGCGGCCTCCACGGCTCAGCTGCTGGTGGCCTGCAAGGTCAAGGCCGACCAGGACTCCGAAGCCATGCGGCGACTGCAGGTGGGCCCAGGGACCGAGGGAGGGGTCGCCTGGGGGGGGGGCATCTCTAGGAGGGCAGGGGGCTGTGGAGCCTGTGCTGTATGTCTCTGTGTGTATATGTATGTGCACACGTGTGTGTGAGCCTGTGGTAGGAAATGAGAGAGAAGGTGCTCTGCTAAGATATTAAAAGGGTCTTTGTGGGAATCCTATGGGACAACAATGTCACAGGGGAAAGTAAACACACAAACACCCCTGCTAAGTAGGCACATGAATCAGTCCTCTCACATCCTCCTTGAGCTGTGCATAGGATGTAGCTGTCCTCAAGGTAAGCAATTATCTCTGATCCAAAACATTGCAGAGTCCTTATCACCGTTAGCAGAGATTTATAGCACAGCTGTTGACCCTGTTTTCAGCTCACCACTTTAATAAGAACACTTGGGCTCTGGCTTTCATCCTAACTCCTGATGATGATGATGATGATGATTAATGTGAACTTGGGGGTACATATTGGGGCATCTCTAAGAGGGCAGAGGCTGTGGAGCCTGTGCTGTATATGTGTTTGTGTATATGTATGTACGTTTGTGTGAGAGCCTGTGGTAGGAAATGAGAGAGAAGGAGCTCTGGTAAGATATTAAAAGGGTCTTTGTGGGAATCCTATGGGACAACAATGTCACAGGGGAAAGTAAACACACAAAACACCTCTGCTAAGTAGGCACATGAATCAGTAGTCTCACATCCTCCTTGAGCTGTGCATAGGGTGTAGCTGTCCTCAAGGTAAGCCATTAGCTCTGATCCAAAACACTGCAGAGTCCTTATCCCAGTTAGCAGAGATTTATAGCACAGCTGCTAACCTTGTTTTCAGCTCACCACTTTAATCAGCACACTTGGGTTCTGGCTTTCATCCTAACTCCTGATGATGATGATGATTTACAACCCACTTTTTCTCTCCACAAGGAGATTCAAAGTGGGGGGAGATGACCTCTTTATGCCAAAAGAAAGCCTTGAGCCACATAAATCTAAGAAGCAGAGGGGCTTTCGGGGAGGATCCTTGTATCGGTGGCCCCTCCACCTGCCCATTGTGCTGAGGCCCCGCCTCCTCTGACCCTTAGCCCTGCCCTTTCCCCTTCCTTCCTTCCTTCCTT